ACTAATCATTCATTTTTCCTCTCTCTGAATCCAAAGTGTTCAGGTCAGAACCAAGATGGTACCTCCTCCCCATCTATACCCATGTTATCCTCACAATCACCTGTGAGGCAGGTCCTCCTGACCCCAGCTTGTGTTTGAGGAACTGTATTTACTAGGGCTGCCATCACAAAGTACCACAAACAAGGGGGCTTCAATGATAGAAATTTACTATGTCATAGTTCTGAAGGCTGGAAGTCCAAGAGGAAGGTGTCGGCAGGGGTGGTTCTTTCTGCAGGCTCTCTCCTTGGCTCGTAGATGGCAGTCGTCTCCCAGTGTCTCTTCACATCGTCTTCCCTCTGTACACGTGTGTGTCCAAATTTCCTCTTCTTATAAGAACCCCAGTCGTATTGGATTTGGGCCCACCCCTATGACCTCATTTTAACTTGATTACCTGTGTAAAGGCCCTACCTCCAAATAAGGTCACATTCTGAGGAACTGTGGGTCAGGACTCAAACATATCCTTTTTTGGAGGACACAAGTCAACCCATAACAGAAACAAAGCCTCAAAGAGGTTAACTAACTTGCCCAGGCCCACACAGTGAGTTAGTATTTAGGCAAAGATTTAAACCCCAGTCTGACCCTAAGAATCAAGCAGATCACGCACTGTGCTTCCTTCTATGTGCAGCCACCAGATATAGCAGAAAAAAATCATGGCTTACGTATTTTTGCCTTCCAAGTTGGGTTTCTTAATTCCTTATGGTTTCTGGGAAATGTTTTCCATATCTCTGGGAAAGAGATAGGTTTTCCTGTTATCCACCAACCTGTCTCCGCCCCTCCCCTCATCACACACACCTGACAGGTGCTTCTCGAAGGCTTTTCTCAGTGAAACCTATATTACCATGGTGCAAATCAGTATTTGAGTAGCACTTATCAGAAGCTTTCACAGGTGTTGACTCATCTTGTCCTGGATGGTGGAAAGGGGACTGTGATATTATTCTGCTCATTTTTTAAGTGACCTACTACAGCTGGGAGACATGAAGTGATTGGGTAAGGTTACACAGTTCAGGAAGTGATTTGCTGGGACCTGGCTGAGGTCTCCTCGTGTAGACTCTTGGGCTTCCTCTGCTGTCTGGACCATCCATCCTGGGGTGCCTTCTGTGGTCTCCTCCCACCCTAGGCATCCACCTTTCCTGGGGAGCACCAGCCTTCTCAAAAGCAGGGCCAGTGGGCAGCTTGCAGACTCTATGGGAGTTTGTTCATGGTCGTCCCCCTTCCCATGGTGCTGATGGCCGCGAAAAGTTGGGAAGGTTGGTTCTGGTGTAAAGCCATGAGGCCAGGATTAAAAACAACCAGCCACATCTCTCAATATCCTTCACTGAAGGCCTGGTGGGCCCACCTCCAGGATGAACAATATCCTCATGCAATGCAAAGAAAAAGACTCTATTTTTTGAAAGGGAAGTAATGGTAACTGTGCTTCCATATTGTTGGGGAGGATGCACATTCACCTCCTGGGCAGGTGGCTCTTTGTTTAGGGAAACCCCTTGAGGGAACTTGTTTAAGAAAGGGGAGGCCCCTTGGCCATGGGGCTTTTTAGACAAGAAGCAGGACATGCCCAGCTACCTGCAAACCTGTCTGCCCCAAATTCAGAGGGAGTGTACCTGTGTACGTGCCCTACGTGTGTGCCCCTTGTTTGTTTGAGGAGTGCCATTTAAAAATTGAGAAATTTCATCTAAAAATCCCATTTCTCTTTTCTCCTTTGAAAAAATGTGGTCATTCTGAGTCCACATCCTGCTTGGCAACAACAGCCTGAAGAGTGACTGCCTCCCTTGGCTAGGGCACGTGCTCAACAGATGGGCGGCTACCCACAGTCCTACTTCACACTCAGGTAACAATTAAATCTATCCCAGCCATTGGCTGCCTGGCCCTTCTGGGCATTTGGGGATGGGGGTGGGCGGATTAACATACATACAGAGAAATCAACGCTCAATAGAATAAAAGCTCCAAAAGATTTTTAGGATCCTAGAAGAAAGGAGATGTGAGGAAGGATCTGGACGAAGCAGAGGGCTTCAAGGGGAGCTAACCATTAGAGAGCTGGCCAAGGATACATTCCTGATGGCTGAGATGGCTGAAAATGTTGAATATTCACCTTGAGATTGATTCCAGTCTGCACTGTTATAATATTCCTCATTGATTCAGAAACCGAGGATTAAATCTATTTGCACAACAATCTTGTTATGGAGCTTTCATAGGTCTAGAAATGGAAGAAGAAGACTGTTCCAAGCCAGGGGACCCAGAGAAGACAGCACGAGCAGTGGTGCTTAGGGGCAGCAGGAGGAGAAGCTACAACACAGCTGACCTTGGAGTAGGCTTGAGGCAACCCCCTTTACTTTTCTTTTTTTTTTTTTTTGTGAGGAAGATCAGTCCTGAGCTAACATCCATGCCAATCCTCTTTTTGCTGAGGAAGACCGGCCCTGAGCTAACATCTATTGCCAATCTTCCTCCTTTTTTTCCCTTTTTCTCCCCAAAGCCCCAGTAGATAGTTGTATGTTGTAGTTGCACATCCTGCTAGTTGCTGTATGCGGGACGCCGCCTCAGCATGGCTGGACAAGCAGTGCATCGGTGCACGCCTGGGATCCGAACCCCAGGCCACCAGCAGCGGAGCGCGCGCACGTAACCGCTAAGCCACAGGGCCGGCCCCACAACACCCTTTTCTACTATCAGAGAGTAACCTTCAGAAGAGAGCTTCACAGAACTCTTAATTCTCATCTGGGAAACCTGCAACCAGGCCAGAGAAGTGCATTTATGTGGCTCCATATATATGCATCATTTCACTTTGTATTTTGGTGACCCACGCATTGGTCTAATGTCCCCTAGCAGACTGTAAACTTCTTGAAGAGCAGTGCAAAGTCACTTTTGTATCCTCCAAAATCAAGCATAATCCCTGATAGATAATAAGTGATAAATGACTACGAAAAAATAAGTAAATTCTGCCATAACTCTGATGTGATCCAATAAATTAAGCAAGGTCAATAGAAGGACATTTGCCACCCTTCTGGTGTAAGTAACTTTGCTGCAGGAAGAAGATAAGAATTAAACCTCTTTGGGGAAGAAATATAGTAACATATATTTTTTAAAGTTCATACCTGTTAACTCAGTAAACCCACTTGTCAGAATCTGTCCTCATTAAATAATCCAAAAGATGTTTGCACAAAAACCTTCATTTAGATATTTCTTAAACTAGCCAAACTTTGAAAGTATTCTACATGTCTAGAAATAGAGGAATTATTAAATAATTAATGGATCAGCTGCTCCATGGACTATTATACTCTATTAAAATAATTATCCATTCTATCTAGCAATATTTAAAATGTTAATGATATGATATTAAGCGTTTTTAAGTAGTACACATTATTTCGCATCAGTTACATTGGGCTTTTCCAGGTGGCAAAGAACAAAGTTAGACTCTTTCATTCGCAAGGGATTTATTGTAAGGACGCGTGGGGAAGTAGGGAGACAGGGCGCAGCAAAGTCAAGCATTGCAGAGAAGAAAAGGTGGGGGCCCGGAGGTTGTTCAGGCTGTCGCTTCTTTGTGCTGTGGGCCCTCAGTACCGAGTGGCTGGGCTCCCTTCTGTGAGCTCTGCCATACAGTGCACCAGCCCCTCTCTGTCTTTGTTTCTAGAGCTTGCTTTGTTTCTCTCTCTACTCAAGCCTCTGCTTACTCATGACTTCCACGGGTTCTTAGCTTCTATCACCTAATGGCTTCTGCTTACTGATTTCTGCTGGCCTCCAGTTTTCTGTGTGCCTCACATTTAAACTCCCCAAGAAGGGGATCTAATTGCCTTAGTTCCCTGCTGTTCTGTTAGTCAGAGCTCTCAGGCCAGGCCGCCTCCATAGCTCCACTAGACAGCGTATATATATGCTGTGCTTCCATCAGGTGCCCAAACGTGATCCAATCAGCTCTGGTCCAAAAACTGGTCACACAGTATGAATGTGGCAGGTACTTCAAGCATACCAGCCACCTATCCAATACAACCATAGTTTTGAACTATGATACAATAAATAAAAAATATAAAACATACATATGAAAACAGGAAGAGGATAAATTAAAGCTATCATACTCGGGTTAGGGTGGAGGGAATTACAGGTGATTGTTTTTCTCCATTTGGCAATTTGCATTTAACAATACTGTAATTGATTTTTGGTTTTCAAGTATTTTTTAAAAAGTAATCTCCCCCAAGCAATAGGAGTCATGCAACCAAGCTCCTAAGTTCAGTCTCTCCCATGAACTTGTCTTGAAACATAGAGCAAAGTCACAACCATTAAAGGTAGTGGTCACCCTTGCAGGTGGAGCATTATTTCTGCCTTACCTTGCCAGGTAAAGGTGAAGGCCATAATTGTTGTAGGTTGTGAAAGCACCTTGAAGGCGAAAGTGTCTATTATTACTCTGAAAACTCCTTTCAACTGCTATAATAGCATATGCCACATGAGCAAAACACAGAACCTTATAACTAACTTGGTTGTGGAAAGACTTCCTTTGTCCACAGGCCAAGTATTTGAAAATACCACCCTCTCAATTGGCAGACATCTCCAGGGCCGGAGAGAAGCTACCATGGCAGTTTTGTGAAACTAGCCACCCCTGGCTTCACTTTGATCTTCCTCTGTCTACAACCTTGTTTCAGTTCCTCCGCCACAGACATACAATTACTACGTATTATTATTGCTTGATGACAACGATAATTACTACAAGGACTGCCCGAGATGGAAAAGACAGGAGAAATCGAATCATCGTACAGACTGGCGTCTGAGCTGGACAGTCTGTTTGTATCTCGTAAACCCTGACCCCCCTTCTCATCCGTCCCCGGCATTAACTTGGGGTGCACAAGCCGAGGGCGGGAACCTCAAAGCTGAAGGCTTGACCGCTCGAGGGCAGGGCCCAGCGATTCGGGAACCGAGATGCAAAATCCTCCCGCGCTCCTAGAGGGGACCCGGAAGCGCCGCGCAGTCCCGGAAGGCGAGGTGCTGACACACTTCCGGCCTTTGTGACTCATTGTCTGTGTCGAGGCGTCGGGAGGGCCTAGGTCCGTGTGCAGCGCCCTTCGGCCGGCCTGAGCCCCAGAGTCAGCTCCCCTTTCTCGCCCAGCGCCCCCAGGCCGCTCCCGGGGCTCACGGTGAGACTTGGGGCCGGCCTCTGGGGAGGGCGGGCGGGGCCGCAGGGGTGTGTGCGTGAGGGTGGGCTCTGCAGCTGCGGCCCGGGGTCCCCTGCAGGCCTCCCGGGCGGAGTGTGAAGAGAGCCCGTGCCCCTGTCTCCTCCCCAGGCCCGGCCGTGAGGAGCGCAGTCCCCCGGGGGGACGTCCCCGCCCTACCCCCGGGTCCCGGGCGGGAGGGGGCGAGGGCTTAGTGTCCAGGGGAGCTCGGAGACCTGGGGAGAAGCAGTCCACGGCCCCTTCCGGGCCTCTCGCCCGCAGTGTCGTCATCGTCGTTTGACGTTTCAGAGACTCGCGAGCGAAGCGACCCCTGTCTGATTTTTCCGGTCTCCCTAAGTCGCCATTTGCTTTGACTCCAGTGAGAGATTTTTTTTTCGGGGTCCTCCAGGCCCTCAAGGTGAAAAATGCGGAAGGCCGAGCTATGGACACGTATTGAAGTGCCGCATACGTGTTTGCAGATCACCTGCTTCTCCTCACCCCGCCCCCACTCCCGAGCGGTGATTAAAGAGTCTTTGAAGCCGAGTCAGTGGATAAAGAAATGATTCAGATCTAGTAGAGATTATATACATCCCACTCTCTCTTTCAGCGAAATGGACTATTTTGGCAGCTTTTTAAAGATGAGCTGTCCGGAAGATTAGGTGGATTTTTCAGTTTTGGGTAGTTACTCTGCTTGACTTGGAGTGGGTGAAGAGTGAAGGGGATTTGTGGAAATTGCACGGGCTGTTGGGAGACTGATTAACTGGGTGACCTTGGATGAGAGAAGACACTGCCAACTCTCAATTTTGTCATCAATAAAATTGGCTAGATTTTCTCAAAAGACCCTTCCAACTTTGAAATTATTTGATTTGGTCAGTGTAACTGAAAAATTCAGCTATCGTTTAGCCTGACACTGCCCCACTCCCCTCCGCTTCCTGCAGCGCCTCCGGTACACAATAAGATACTTTCATTATAGAGAGTGGCTGTTACATGGCCTGGGACCAAAGAAAGCATTTATTGTACAGGCCAGTGCTAGGCGGATTGGAGGTGGTCAATAAATAACTTGTTGAATTGAATTGTGGAGAATTCATTGTAACCAGATGAACAAAGCACTGTTACTATATATACTGGCCAAATGTGGAGAAATAGCTTTATTACATAGGGAACCATAATGATAATTTGCCTCAATGTTTCTCCAAGTTCGTATCGTCTCTGAATTACTATGCAAGATTCTTGTTCATTATTTCAAGCAGTTTTCACCCATCTTACAATACAAACAGGGAGGCTAACTACTTAATAGTATAGTCTTTTGCTGATTCTCTGCTTGATGTAAGCGTTTAAATTTTTTCTAACTTTATATTGCATCTAAATACAAATGAGTGTTATGTTAAATATTACCTTTTCGTTCTGAGATAGTGTCAATATTCTTGGGTAGCTAGCTGTCTTTTAAACGTAGTTTTTTCATATTTTAAAACATTTTATAGCTCTATTCAAAAATGGGAGGGGGGTGCTTTGTTTAAACTTTTAAGACTACACCCTGGAAAAATATACTGGCCTGTTTAGAAAATGGCCTTTGGAATATATTGAGCTTGTAACTCCAAGCCATTTTTGTAAGAAAATTGTTTGTATGTATTCTTGATGAGAACCGGTTGCTGGGGGTAATCTTATCTATATGGGATAGTGTGTCGGAGTGGTTTTCAGCTCAGAGGGACCCCTGAGGTAGTTTTCTACTCCCCTGACATGCACACTTGACAGGTGAGGATACTGAGTGCCCGAGAGGTTAGATAACTCACTGAGGGGTGTGAAACTTGTTTGCGGGAGACTAGAATTCAGGTGTTCCAAGCTGTGCTGCTGTCACTGTTATAGGGTTTCTTCCATTGCTTAATCTTTTAAGCAGGCTGAAAATTCGAAAATACAGTTGCATCTCTTAAGTTTATCAAAAAAATTAAAACACTTTTCTAGTGCCTGCTAAACCCAGATGCTGTTTTAAGTGCTTTATATATGTTAACTTATTTAATCCTCACAACAACACTGTAAGGCAAATACTGTTTTTCATCCCCGTTGTGCAGATTAGGAAATGTGCACAGAGAGACGAACTCGCCTAAAATTGTCAGCTGATTAGTGGTGGGCTGCTAAGTGATAGCCTCTGGGGCTAATTTGAGGGCAACAGTGAATTCTGTATGAATAGGCAAAAAATAGTAACATTGTAAATTCAGTCAAATATTTTCTAAAAACTGATACTTGGCAAGGAATCATACTAAGTGGTGTAAGAGGTACAAAGACTCTTATACCCTTAGCAATAGTCCAGTTGAGGGGGACAGCGTGAAAAATTAAATTACAGGGAAAGAAACATGGTAAGAACTTCCATATCAAATGCTAGGGAGAGACCATTAGGGCCGGGAGTTTAGAGACAGGAGAAAAGATTGTTTGCTCATCCTCTGGGAGACCTAAAATAAAACCCAGCCCTTCCACTGCTGTTGTGACTTTTCTTTTGTCCAGAGTAGGAGCAGAGACATGTTGGGAGGTGGGGGAGAGGACCTGTCGCAATTGAAAGAGGAGGGAATGTGCCCATGCCCTCATTTCTGTCCCTTTGGGTCTCACTTCTCAGAGTCTCTTCCTATTGAGTCCCACTGACCCAAGGAGTATTCTGCTCTTTGAAACTCTGGCCTAGGTGTGGGCACAAATCAAGATTCCTTTATTCTCCTTACTGTAGCTGAGACTGGAAAGAATTTTCATAAAAATAGAGCTTTCTGATGCTAGGCTAGTTACTGCAGTAGTTCTGCTCAGTTATCCGGTTTGAAAGTCCCCTTGCTTAGATTTTGGATGATTCTCTCTTGCATCTCCTGCTGTGCTTCATTAGTCACACAGCTCTCTAGTGAAAACAGTGGATGGCAGGTGAGGCCCATTCCTGAGTGGTCATCCTTCATAGGCCTTCCTCTCAGAAAGAAGGTGCATGTACACAGAAGCCTTTCCTTACCCCACATGTTGGGACAGAGTGAATTTGGTATGATAGTTAGAAGTTGCACCAAGGAGTCCCACAGACCTAATTTCAAATCCTGGCTCTGCCATTTAATTGCTGTGTGACCTTGGGTATGTTATTTAATGTCAGTAAACCTTAGTTTTGTCATTATAAAGTGAGATGATAGTTGTACCTACTTCCTAAGATTGTTTTGTGAATTGGTTGATATGATACTTGGTACACAGAAAGCACTCAGTAAACGTTGGCCCTTACTATTATGCCTACTAGAGGCTTCTTGAACAGTGAGGAGAGGCAAGTGGCATTTTAGCTTAGCTCTGAAAGATAAGTAGGATTTGAAAAGACCGAGAAGATTGGGAAGGAAATCCCAGGCACTGAGTATGATGTGAGGAAAGGGTGGCAATTGAAACACAGGAAAATTTAGGAAACACTGAGTAGACTCATTTTGCTGAATGGAGAAGCTTCATGTGGGCGAGGGGGAGAAATTGCTGGGAACTGAAGCTTGAGGGGAAACTGGGACCAGGTACTGGAGTGTGTTGACTGCAAGGCTATAGAGTTTTAGGAAGAATAATCTGAGAGTAAAGTAGGAGGCGAATTGTGGGGAGGTGGGGGGGAAGAAAATGAAGGCAGGGAACCAAAGGGAGGAAGCTGGACCTCACGGAACTAGGTAGAAAATGTATGAACAAAGAATTACTTCTCCCTGGTGCTAGGAGACTCACAGCGTGTAAGGAGAGAGGGGCAAGGAAGGTGCGACTCTGAGCCTGTGTGACTGAGATATTAGTAGGGTATCTGATCACTAATGGCCACTAAAGGCAATAAGAAGATGGCAGGGGGAGCTGTGATAGTTTGAGTGGTTCTTATTTCTTCTATTCAGTTTAACAGAGTTAAAATCTGCCAGGTTCTCCAGGAGATAATGACAAAGAAGACAAGAGTCCTTGTCCCTGAGGGGCTGACAGTTTAGTTGGGAGGTGGAGATAGGAACTGTAACCCAAATAATGATAATACAAGGAGAATGTTAAATGCCATAAGGTGGAACAAAGAAAGTACTAAGGGCCTTCAAAGGAGGAAGATACCTTATTTAATTTGGAATGTCAGGAGACATACATCTTGAAGGGTGAGTAAAAATTTGGCCCATAGAGTTGATACGATGGGAGATTGTTCACAGCAAAGAGGTGAAGATGAAAAATCACACCCTTTGCTTGGGGAACATTAGTGGGCCAGATAGGCTGAAATATAGGGGCTCACTACTAAGAAAAGTAGTGGGAGGTAAGACTGGAAAAGGAGAGTGGGGTATGTTGTCTGAATGCTAAATTGGTAGATACTGAGGCTTCATTGACAGGGATTGAGAGGAAGGAGGGAATGGCCAGGAGCATACTTTGGCAATACTGCCATGACCTAGGTATCTTGTACGTATTAGAACAGGGAGAAATTGAAGCTAGAGAAACGATATGGGACTATGCACTAGTCTAGGCAGGAGATATGGAGCCTGAATTCAGGTGGTGGAAAATAGTTGTGGGAGGCATAGCAGGAGGAGATCATCTTTCTTTTGACTTTTCAGAATGAAATGAAAGAAACTAAGGCTTATAGGTGTTGTTTTGCTTCCAGTTGGGAAAAACTAGGCAAACTCGCTGCCTCTTCCTACAGAAGTCCTGGCTGTTCGATGCCCCAGCTCCCGGGGGTCCTCTTCCTGGAGCTCTCTTGTCAACGCGGTCAGTTATTCTCCAGGCTCCTCTTGCACTCCTGTTGAAACCTTAGAACAGTTGGCACATTCTGCTCTGTACTATCATTATTTGTGTAAAAATAGGAATCATGCTTCTCATCTTTTTATTCCCCTCAGTCTAGCAGGACACCTTGCATATTGTGAATATGCAGAAGTGTTTAGGAAATTGAATAATTGTAGCTGTCAGGACTTTACAGGTAAAGCTGCTCTGAAATTGAAAAACAAAATATATTTACCGCAGCAAGGAGGGTGGGCTGCAAAACAGGTCTGAGGGAATCAACAGGAATGGCTAGACGATGGTTTGCAATAGGACTTTTGCAGTTTAAAATCATTAGAGAAATTGCTTAATTCTCACATTCTCTTTACATTTATGTAGAAACTGTTTTTGAATGTAATGTTCTTTATTGTAATTATAGACTACTATTTTAATAAGGATTTCTGTTTTTCATTAAGGACAAAAAAAGGAGATAGGACAACTCATCCTGTGATAAATCTCAGATTAAAATCATATTTTTTGTAATTAAAATAGTCATCTCCAAACTTTTTTTGGTCACATTCCTATCAGTAAAAACTATTTATAGAAATTACACAAATATAGGGGCCAGCCCGGTGGCATAGCAGTTAAGTTCGTGCCCTCCACTTGGGCGGCTCGGGGTTCACAGGTTCGTATCCCAGGTATGAACCTACGCACCACTCATCAAGCCATGATGTGGCAGCATCCCATGTACAAAATAGAGCAAGATGGGCACAGATGTTAGCTCAGGTCCGATCTTCCTCACAAAAAAAATTATGTATACTATTACACCAATGATGAATAAATGAAAAGCAATTTTTAAAAGTTAATATATTGAGGTATGTGAGGAAGCCATTTGGTTTAAAACTAATTCGGCCTGACCTTGTTTTTCAGAATGGCCTGGTGTGGCCTGTCCAGCCTGCATTGTACATCTGCTTTAAACATTTACCATATCCCAAAGCAAAGAGTGATGCCTTTAAAGATAGGGATGAATGCCTGCCCCTGTATCAGCATTTCTTTAGAGATAGGCATTTCTTCCCAAAAACTAAGGGTCAAACTGACCTACTGTGTACATCTTGTGACCACTGACCTGCTGATCCACGTGTTATGCTAGCAAAACATCTTGTGACTGTAGTAAAAAGAGATATTCCTGTCATACTTGATGTATGTTCCTTGTTCCAAGAGGGCATATAACCGCTGTGTACACTCCGCTGCTTCTCAGTGCTTCCTTCCCTGGTGAAGGTTGCTTCTCCCAGGCTATACATTTCTCACACTGCCTCATATAATAAACTCAGCCCAATTTTAATTTATATATTGATTATTGATTGTTTGCATTGACACCAATATTTTGTATAATAAAACAAAAGATACATTGAATTGTGCTATTTAAAAATAATTTTTGTGCTTTAAATGTACATGATTCCTTTTTCACCAAAATTGCTAATAATATTTTAGTGAGAGCCATGTAATTAAAAATGCTTTGCTGGTCTAAAACTCTTGGCTTAACTCACTGTAATACTCTGTCTCTCAAACTTAAATCTGATGCTTGATTTTGATGGCTGTAGAGGTGAAAAAGATACTTCACAAAGGTTTGTCAGTTCAGATGGAAGAAACGCATTGTCGACTCTGCTTAGTGACATGATTGGTCCTGTCCACCAGCCGTGCTAAATTTTTGTTGCTGTTGAAATTCAGCTAGTACATTTCCATTTTCCATGCCCTTAAATCACCTGTTCTTACAAATTAACCAAAAGGTGTTTTATATTTTTAACAAACAGGCTTAAGACCCACTAAAATTCTTCATTTGGAAGATTTTTATTTTTGAACAGATGAGAAAGTGTTTCCAAGTTTTTTAAATGTGTAGATAATAAGGATTTTTCCAGGCTACTTAGTATCATGTTTTGGCAGTCAAAATTACATAACAGTGGAAATGTCTCCCAGCATACATCTATTCTCGTAATAGTCTTTCCTCACACTTTTTTTTTTAAAGGAGCTACTTTCTTATTTATTGGTTGACTTCTTGTTTGATTTAGATCAACATTGGTTTTTACTTGCTAATCTGGCGAAGTAGAACCTTACTCTAGATAGAAGCTTCAGCTGTATCAGTTTCTTGTTCAGTGCACTTACATCATTGGTATTTGCTCTAATTGTTTCTGTGCAAGAATCTTTAAAGCTGCTTGTCTCTTTTTTTTTTTTGAGATACAATTGACATAACATTATATTAGTTTCAGGGATACACATAATGATTCAATATTTGTATATATTGCAAAATGATCACAGAGAGTCAATATCCATCGCCATAGTTAACACATTTTTTTTCTTGTGATGAGAACTTTTAAGATCTACTCTTTTAGCAACTTTCAAGTATTCAATACAGTATTATTAACTGTAGTCACCATGCTGTACATTACATCCCCACAGCTTATTTATTTTATAACTGGAAGTTTGTATCATTTGACCCCCTTCACCCATTTCACCCAACCCCCATGCTTGTCTCTTTTATGAAGGTGATTAGTTAAGGCTGGATAAAATAATCCATTATTCGCCCTAACTAGTCTCAGATAAACTGGGAAACGTCACAATACCTAGAAGTGAACAAGTGAATGAGGGCCCCTCTGTACGGAGGGAAGGAGGTCTCCCACTCTTCCCTTGGGATGTAACGTATACCCTGTGTGACATGAGACAGTTCAACATTTAGACCAAGTGATACTGTCAGTGTGAATTTGTACATTAAATATGGCTTAATTTTTCCCACTTTTAAAATATAAGTGGGTATTCTGACATTTTCTTTCTGTATCCAAAGTGGATCATCTTGTCCTTTGAAGACCACAGCTTTCGACTGCCTAAGGCACCTTTAGAAATAATGGAAATAGATAGATGGTAGATTAGCAAGTCCAGGGCTTCAAATTTGGCTTGGATGTTGACTCCGCTAGATAGGTAGCCACCTGCTACTGAGGAAATTAAATTATCTAAGCCTCAGTCGTGTCATCTGTAAAATGGTACTAGCAGTTGTGCCCACCTGCTAGGGTTGTTGTGGGAGGAGATAAGATGGTGCATGTACTGGTACCTGGCACCCTGCTGACCTTCAGCTCTCCCTGGGCTAGGCACTGTAAATGCGTGATATCATGACCTGCTGTCCTCCTGGAGGTAAGGTGCTCGGACTCAGGCAAACACCCTGAGGGTGGAATTCGCCTGTTGGAGGCTTCTGTTTGCAAATCTTAATATACAAAGTGACAGTGAAAACAGTGCAGCTCTGGAGGGTTTGTTTTATTTTGTTTTTGTGAGGAAGATCAGCCCTGAGCTAACATCTAATGCCGATCCTCCTCTTTTTGCCGAGGAAGATTGGCCCACACCCATGCCCATCTTCCTCTGCTTTATATGGGACGCCGCCACAGCATGGCTTGGCAAGCAGTACCTCGGTCCGCGCCCGGGATCCAAACCTGCGAACCCTCGGGCCGCTGAAGCCAAGTGCTCGCACTTAACCGCTATGCCACCGGGCCAGCCCCCAGGGGGGTTTTTTTTTCCCTTTACTGTTCAGAGGCATTCTTAGTGCCTTGATGTGTAGCCTTGTGTGAAGTGTTAGCAGCACAGGTCACTTTTCATAAATGTACTAATAACTTTTTTCAATCTTCAGGAATAGTACAGAAACGGATAGAAAACATCTTCTAGGACAGAAGGGAGAGCACAGTTTGGATCAAATCAGTTCCCCGAGCCTGAATGATGACTGCTGAATCAAGGGAAGCCACGGGTCTCTCCCCCCAGGCTGCCCAGGAGAAGGATGGGATTGTCATAGTGAAGGTGGAAGAGGAAGATGAGGAGGACCACATGTGGGGGCAGGATTCCAGCCTGCAGGAGACTCCTCCTCCCGACCCGGAGATATTCCGCCAACGTTTCAGGCACTTCTGTTACCAGAACACTTTTGGGCCTCGAGAGGCTCTGAGTCGACTGAAGGAACTTTGTCATCAGTGGCTACGACCAGAGATAAACACCAAGGAGCAGATCCTGGAGCTGCTGGTGCTGGAGCAGTTCCTTTCCATTCTGCCCAAGGAGCTCCAGGTCTGGCTGCAGGAATACCGTCCTGATAGTGGGGAGGAGGCCGTGACCCTTCTGGAAGATTTGGAGCTTGACTTATCAGGACAGCAGGTAAGAAGAGGTGGAACTGTTGTGTGTGAGCAGCACGTGGACTTTGTGGTGGTTATTCTCCCAGCTCTGCTTGGATATTAAAAAGTATTCTGGCCTTCTCCCCTCTGCATCCACTGGTATATTTAACGGTCTTTTTGTTTGTTTAAATTCCTGTTAAAAGGTGATTTACCCATAAGCCCAACCTGTTTCTCCTCAGGTCCCAGGTCAAGTTCATGGACCTGAGATGCTCGCAAGGGGGATGGTGCCTCTGGATCCTGTACAGGAGTCCTCGAGCTTTGACCTTCATCATGAGGCCACCCAGTCACATTTCAAGCATTCATCTCGGAAACCCCGCCTCTTACAATCACGAGGTAAGAAGCAAGGTTTCACGTGGAAAAAAGAAGCGGACTGTTTGGGATGGGAATGCCCTCTCTGTGTTGCTAAGTGCCTGTAATAAAGAAGCATGCTTGTTTTTATCGTTTTACGTTGTCATCATTACTAAATATGAGGGGAAATATACAGACCAATCTCAGGGGTTAAATAATGTTGCTAAGGAGGTAAGTGAAATGTGCATAGTGAACTTGGGTGGACATTACATTATTTATTGAATTGTTAGCATTCTGGATGTCTAGCAGATTTTTTGTCACAGGAAAATGCTGGAAAGAGATGATATATTTTCAGCCTGGGTTTTGAAACACCCTAGTATGTCACAAATTATCTTAAAAAGGATCATTTTTAAAATTCATTTTATTTAAGATGTATAAAAATATTATATAACATCACTCTTCTTTTAGGTTTCTTTCAAAAATTTCAAACAATGAAAAGAATGTTTTGTTTTTGATTAAGGAACATGAGGAAAAAAATCATTTTAGGGTCATAAATAAAAATCAGTTTCGGGCCGGCCCCGTGGCTTGGTGGTTAAGTGAGCGCGCTCCACTGCTGGCGACCCGGGTTCGGATCCCGGGCTCGCACCGACGCGCTGCTTCTCCGGCCATGCTGAGGCCGCGTCCCACATACAGCAACTAGAAGGATGTGCAGCTATGACACACAACTATCTACTGGGGCTTTGGGGGGAAAAATAAATAAATAAAATCTTTAAAAATCAGTTTTAATTCTTTTCATTTGAGGGAATTTTAACAATATCCAGTTTTAAAATCAAAGTAGGTACATAGAGTATCAGTAAAAAACAATGACACACTAAAAGTACGGTTTGTCCAAGAAGAGTTGATAAAGGCACATTCCTTAGGCAGTGTTTTTATTTGTAATGACATTTACGGTAGGAATATTAGAGCTTAAGGAGGTGTTCTCCTGTGGTACGTCCTGGAGGATAGCCAGCATCCATATGCTGGAGAAATCCACGTAAACCAGCGCACTGTGATGGTTAATCCACTGCTGTCCTCCCAGTCCCATTTATGTCCCTCTAGGGATTGCAAGGTCTCTCCACACTCCACAAGGGCCAAATCAAGAAATTGAGGAGAATATCCATGGTTTCAAGTGCCAGATTAGAGGTTCAAGTTGCCAGAATAACAGTTTCAGAGACCCTGGTACATATAGTTCTTACTTAATAAAGAGTTCTTCAACAAATTGAGGCATATGCACTTATTTTTCGTTTCCTCTTTGTGCTCTTCATCTTTCAGAGCGTTTCCTAACTCTTGGGAGGTTAAAGTGCTGGTTACTTGATCATTTTGTACATTTTGCTTAGCTTATCTTATTGTAGGTTCTGAAATAGTTACAAAGTTTAGTAATTCCGTTTCAAATTCACTTCTCTAATATCTCTGCAGCTCAGTAACACTATCTGTTTATCAGTAACATTTCCAAATCTAATATTACTTGCCAAGGGAGGATTTTAATTTTTCAGTTTAAAATTTTTCTAATTGTTCTTACACACTGCAGTTGGTGTGACCATATGTTATAGATGTCTTTTATTAGATGAGTGTCAGTCCAGACCTTTATTCACTTGTAAATGTCTCATCAACATTTGAACCATGTATACATTTTATCAGAAAACTCAGTGGCTAAGTAAGGGAGAAAAGTCAAGGGACAAAAAAATGGCAAAAACTTAGCCAGAAGTAAGAGGATCCCCTTCCTACCCTGTGTTTCAAGATATTACGACTAAAGATTCTTAAAGCTGTGTTGTGTTTTTCACAACTAAATGGGATTCTGATGTCCTGGCACTGTTCCTTAGACTGGAGAAAATTAAATTATGAGCCAGACTTGAATCATGGGCTAAATGTTACCCACTTTTATAGCTGAGAATAGGAACCTGGGTTCTGGTTCTGGCCCTGCTGTTCTTAACTGTGTGACATCAGACAAGTCATTTACCCTCTTGGGTCCTCAGTTTCCCCTTTTTTAAAATAAAGGGGTTGGACCAGGTGATTTTCAGGACCGTTTTATGATTCCTTGTGACTCTTGCTTAAGACTAGAAGTCTTAGGAAAATAGAGGTCATGGTTTTTCTTTTTTATATTCTCCATAGTTATCTATTCTGTAGTTAAACATTGAGTATCAAACACGCTGATTCAGGAAAGAGGGTGCCCTGGGCTCTTCTTTTGAGGGGCCCAGAGCAGAGCTGGTTTTACTCACAGCTCCTTTCTCCCCCCTCAGCTCTCCCTGCCGCCCACGTTCCTGCCCCTCATCATGAGGGGAGTCCCAGAGACCAGGCGATGGCATCTGCATTATTCACGGCAGATTCCCAGGTGAGCTGTGGGCCCCTCTGCCCTCCTGAGTCCCTCTGCCTCTGAGTCCTGAGTCCTATCTGCCTCTCTTCTGGAGCTCTTTTAGCAGTCTGCACCCAAGACACTCACTCTTGATGCCCCTGCCCACAGAGTAGCCCCACTCCCCGCTCCATGCACCAGAGTTTGGCATGGTCACATTTTCTTTCCCAGCATCCTGTAGGTTTGCAGTCAGCTCTGTCCCTGAGTCCAGGTTTGGGCAATGGGATTGTCCTTGAGCTTTGGGGGAACTGAGTGTGGGGATCTCATATTATTTCAGGCAATGGTGAAGATCGAGGACATGGCCGTGTCCCTCATCCTGGAGGAATGGGGATGTCAGAACCTGGCTCGGAGGAATCTCAATAGGGACAACAGGCAGGAGAATTATGGGAACGTGTTTTCCCAGGGTAAGACTGATGCAGGATTATTGTCTGATAAGATTGTTTTGCCTCTCTTTTTGTTAGTTGTGGGGTCTCTGATGTGTTCAGTTGAGTGTTGACAAGGATTTAGAGCCCGTTCTTCAGACCAGATAGAGAATTAGAACATTTGTGTTCATTTAACCCCAAAAGCCTGGTATTTTGACTCCCTGATTCCAGGTAGATTTTTTTACCTCTAGGTAGTTTTTGCTGTTTGATATCTGAAATACTCTTGTGCTCTGAGTCCTCATCTCTTCACCCACTCCATTACCCGGGAGGATTCTGCACTGCTCCCCTGCGGTTTATGGTCTTTTGGTACTTGTTCTTTGGACTAGATGAAAATTAAGCCGAAGAACTGATCTGTATTTATGAGCTGGGTATTACCTACTCTGTAATAACTTAAAAAAGAATGTTGGGAATAGTCTGGGAATTATCCAGATAGTCCAAGACCTTGGCTTGGAATTCGAAAGAAGTGGACTGTTTTCCTCTTCCTTACAATTGGTTCAGTATTTATGGTGATTTCATCCCTCAAGTCAGGGGTTAGATGTTCCTCAGCTCCTGCAGTGGCTGCATTCTGGGCCTGTTGGGGATAGTGCAGACCTGCTTAGAAAGGTTTCTTAAGGCCAAGTAAATAAAAAGTAGAGTTGGGATATTTTGGTTTCTTTCCTAGACAAACGTAAACATATATAAAGTAGTTGTATGTTTATTGAACAGTTTTCAGTCTCTACTTAAAAAACAAAGTGACACACAGAATATAGCAGTCTACAATAAAAATATATTCCAGTGTTTAATATGCTGATTACTGAAGTGAGAGGATCAGCTCTGCATTTGTAAAATTTTGTTTTCTTATATTATCTCCACGGGCTATCTCCGGCATTATTTTCAGTTTCTTTTCTGTTCTCGACTATTCTCAGTTGTCTGTCTGAAGGTTTTAATTATGTTTACTGATGCCCCAACCAGCTTCTTAACCTTCATCTCTGTTAGTTGAACACTGTCGGCTCGGTGCCGTCCTCCCTGGTGGAGAGAAACGATTTCCTGTGTCTGAAGGTCATCGTCACTGCCAAGTTCAGAGCTCCTTGTTTTGCCCAATAACCATCACCTTGTTGATAAAAATCTCACAGAATTGGAGGAGTATTCTCTTTTCCCTTATTAACTATGTTCCTTTCTTTCTGCTAATACAATTTACCATTTTCTAGGAAAGATCTGTGCATTCTTTTTTTTTAAATTCATGAATACTTGCATTGGAAATGGAATATGATTTTTTAAATGTATATTTGTTCCTTCAGATTATCAGGTGACCAACAGTAGAACTGTGAATTGTGATCTCTTGAGTTCCTCAATTCCACATCCCTTCCTTCCTTCACTGGTTCTGTCCCCTCTGCTCGTTCCCCAGCGTGGCTGTTCATTCCTGTCCTCTCTGCACGCTCCCTCGATTGTCCTCTGCACTGTTGGCCTGCCCTTGCGTTTCCCAGCTCTGCTCCTTCTTATCCCTATTTTTTCTCCTTATTTTTCTCCTATTTTATCTCCGATTAATATTGTAAGGTCATTTTGCAGGCATGTAGAAGCTTCCTGAAAAACAACGTCACTTGATTAACCTATATATTCAAAAGAAAAAGGTGCTATTTGTATTTTCTATTTATTGTGTCAGGTTGTGAAAACAGGAATGAGAAAGAGGAGTCAACCTCAAAGGCTGAAATCACAGAAGACTCAGCATCACGTGGGGAGACAACGGGAAGATTCCAGAAAGATTTTGGAGAAAAACGTGAACAGCAGGGCAGAATAGCAGAAAGGCAGCTGAGAAACCCTGAGGAGAAAACTGGAAAAGAAAAGAGAGATTCAGGGCCAGCTACAGTCAAGGAAAAAAAACCCACCACCGGAGAGAGAGGTCCAAGGGAGAAGGGTAAAGGATTGGGAAGAAGCTTCAGCCTCAGTTCAAACTTTAACACCCCTGAAGAAGTTCCGACAGGAACCAAGTCTCATCGATGTGATGAATGTGGTAAATGCTTCACAAGGAGTTCAAGCCTTATTCGCCACAAAATAATCCACACTGGAGAAAAGCCCTATGAATGTAGTGAGTGTGGGAAAGCCTTCAGTCTTAATTCAAACCTTGTCCTCCATCAGAGAATCCACACAGGAGAGAAACCTCATGAATGTAATGAGTGTGGCAAAGCCTTCAGTCATAGCTCAAATCTCATTCTACATCAGCGAATCCACTCCGGAGAGAAACCTTATGAATGTAATGAGTGTGGGAAGGCCTTTAGCCAGAGCTCAGACCTTACTAAACATCAGAGAATCCACACCGGAGAAAAACCCTATGAATGTAGCGAATGTGGAAAAGCTTTCAACCGAAACTCATACCTTATTTTGCATCGAAGAATTCACACCCGAGAAAAGCCCTATAAGTGCACTAAGTGTGGCAAGGCCTTCACCCGGAGCTCGACGCTCACTCTGCATCACAGAATCCATACCCGAGAGAGAGCCTCCGAGTACAGCCCAGCCTCCCTCGATGCATTTGGAGCATTCCTGAAAAGCTGTGTGTAAAGCGAGAATTTGTCAAAAAGCCATTTCCCCCCTTTGTTTCTAAAATTATTTCAGAGGTATGTGCCGGTGGAGGGGGAAAAAAAAACCAGCTTCAACAGAGTTTTTAAAAATCACAGTAAGGATCCTTGTGGTTACATCAGCAGCGTTCTGCCTTCTCGTAGTCCGTGGGCATGTCATTCTTCCACACAGCCCCTGCAGGGAAAAGCTAGTCACATGGATAATCCACATGATATTTCCACACAGGATAAAAGCACACACAGGAAAATGTCAAGCTGTTCAGTAATGAAGATACCTTTAAGGCACTGTTGGACTCTCAGCAACCACAATGTATAATTGAAAGATTAAGATTGGCTCTGTGAAAATGATACTGAGGTCAAAAAGCTGCTTGCTGCAAACAAGCCCTAGTTGGCCACCATCTTGCTGTCCCTTATTTCGCAAAAAAGAGGGACAGTTAAAAACTCCATTGGGGCATGCTGCTCAAACTAGTTATATATACAATAAGTTATATATATGATCACTGGTAGCCTACCAAAGCTATAGAAATCAAGGACTGTGCTGATGAGTATCAAACCAAAGATTTCTATCTCTTCCTGAAAGAGAGGGTATGTGCACCAGTCTACAGTTCCAAAGGACTGCAACACGTAGATGGTTCTGTCCTCGTCACTGAGATAAATTCTACTGAAATAGCAACAGTGATTCAAAACACTTCTCTCCCTTCTAGAAATCCCTAAAGCACTATCGCACTCCTAGATGCATTTCTCCACGAGTTGGCACTTGACTGTGTACTGTCTTCTAATCCTTCATTGTTTTGTGTATGAAAGTTTTCATCACCCCCCAAAAGAGATGCTTCGATCATCAAGGGGATATATTTATATCCTTGGCAGCGCTGGACACAGTGCTGAACACATGAGAGGCCCTCATTATGCCTGACTTCTAACAGGACTTTTACATTGATGATAAAGTCCTGTGAGTCATGAGTGCCTGAAATGGGGTAGCCTGACCCAGCTTTTGAAGAGGACCTTCAGAGCCTGAGGCATGCTAATCCTCTAGGGTCTGATGCTATTTTTGTCCTAAATATCAAAGAAAGGCGCTGGTTGGCCACCTGCGTAGACTCTTTCTAAATATGGATCAATGAGTAAATACCATGGAATGTCAGAAATGACTCTTGTCATGATCTTAAAGAAGAAAAATGTGAACGCTTACTAAGGCCATTTCTTGACATCTTTCTATGGTAAAGATCTTAGCCAGAATTCTCTTCAGTCGGCTGCTGAACAACATGATGATTTGGGCACTTGCTGAATCATTTGTAACTTTAAATAATATAGTTCAGAAGATGTGATTTTTGTTGCTTTTCAGAAAAAGGAAAGTTGCAGGGAGCATTTTTTCCCCACACTTTCCAGAAACGTTGCAAAAGTATTTTTGCATCGTTAGCTGGCAATTATTAAACACGTTTGTTGCTCTGTGAAGTTCACCAATATGCTAAGGTGTGGTTTAGCTGTATCATAGTCATACTCCTCAGTGTCTTTTCTGTTTCTCATCACTAAAGACTGAGGTGAGGTTATGCAACTTTGATCTTGTCCATTGGCTGCCTAAAATTTCATGACCGAGACTGGTTTCACATACACATACAGGAGACCCAAGTATCATGGGCTACATAGGTATTTCATCAGGAACTTGGGTAGAGGTGACTCTGCTCATGAGAGCATGCAAATGATTGTGGACAGCCCTGCAGGAACTTAGAAACATCTGCTAAGAACAAACCTGAGGACTATCCCCATAACGAGAGAACCCCACATAGAGTTTGAGATTTTCTTTCAAGAAACAGAGCTAAAACTGTCATTCATCTGTTGTTCGCTCAACAACTGCTCAAGCCCGTGAGACAGCATAGCTTTATGGGGAGCCACTGAGGTGGGGGCAGCTGGCCTCAGCTCCAGACCAAACTCCAGTTCTGCACAGCAGTAACTCTTTGGCCTGTCTTTACAAGTTGGACCAACCACAACTTCTCTTTAGCTTCGAAGCAGTTTCATCAGTATTTCCTGGAAAGACTTCAAGGAAGTTAGCTGGTGACCAGAATGATTCTATCCATCCAATTTAAGAAAAACAGAAGAGATACTCCACAAGAGTATAAGTAACTCTTTATAGTAAAGTGAAGGTAGAAAAAATGCTTTCAGGATTTTCTTCAAAGAGTGAGCTGAGCCACAGCAGTGGTTGCATGGAAAAACTGCTGGCGCTTTTGAGCAAAGACTTTGGCTGCCGCGAAGCAACTGAAAGCAGTGAGGTCCTTAACTCAAGACACTGATCAAAGCACTGACTGTTCTTAAGAGGGAAAGAGCTTGGGTGGGTTCCACATTGGCCTTTTTTCAGCCACAGCTACATGCTGACATAAGTCAGCCATCATGTTTGTTTTTTTTAAATGAAAGTTAAATATAACCTGTGCCCCGACATTTAATTCCCATTTTACTGGGACAGTATACTGACTACGTGGGGTAGCCCTGGGGTTGCTTCAGATCTTCAGCCTTGAACCAGCTATATGAAGATATGTTTTCTGAAGAAAACAGGCTACAGCTGTTTATTAAAAGCATTTGCATTGCATTCCTTTATCAGGTGCTCAGTGTAAAGTGTAATTGGGTCATAGTCGAAAAGGCTTACATCTGATTAGTGCTCAAGATAGTCATTCGAAAGTTCTTGACTGGCTGAAGTCTGTTAACAGTTTAAGTACTCTACAGTTAACTGTTAGCATGCTAGTTGACCTAATGGAAGTTTTTGAAGGGTTTTTAAAAATATACCTTAACCTTGCCAGGAAGAGAAGTAAAATTTTTCGGGTTGTGGGGTATTTGTTTCTACTCCAGCCTGGCAGTCAAGGCTAAAGCCTGAGAATACAGATGTATGAGGCATCTTGGTATGTAAGGCACTTAGTTTTTTATTAAAGGCGTAAAAGTGAAACTGTGCTAAACATGTACAGAGAGGACGACATGTTTGGTATGTAAGATAATTCACATCTTACATACCTCAGAGAATTCATTCCAGAGAGGAACCTCTTGAATGTGATAAATATGGCAAAGCCTTTAATCACATCTCAGCCCTTAGCATCAGAAAGCTTACGCTGTAAATAGACTACTAATATTATATGTGAGGAAAACTTTTCATGGATGGCACTCATTGCTTTGGACAGAAAATGAATTCCATCAGTACGTTCCAATCATGTAATGAATTTCAGAAACACTGCAGAGGAAGCTCAATCTCTACTCCACAGGATCCACAGAAATAAAAAATGTGGAGAAATGCTAAAGAAATAGCAAAGTGCACAACTTCTTACAAAAGTTGTTACTATTGGGTACTTCTGTACATTTTGTATGACCATAATGTCAGTGTCAGTGTTTTGTCCCTCCAGTCCCTGTTGTTACTCTGTATGTTCTCTGTAAACAGTGTATTTTATTCTAATCTATTTGACAGAACACATCACTTCAAGAGAGCAAAGTTTTGGGGTGAGTAGTGAAAAAGTTGATGTAGTTATCGACAAAAAAATCAGTTCACAGAACTGAGGAGGGGGAAAAGGAGAAAAAAACCTTCATAGTTTGGTGCTTATCAGATCAGGAGAGGAGGTCAGTAGATTCGTTAGGAGAGACTGGTTCATGGGGCACTCAAATGGAACAATTCCTGTAAACATCTGCAGCTTCCTGAGAGTGTTCTTGTCAAAGCCAGGAAGTTGACCTCTTAGCTGCCAGATCACCAGCTCGAGCAAAGAGAATAGGTTCTCGGAGCTTGTCAGAGAGAAAGAGCGTCTTCTCCATGAATCGAGAGGAGGGAGTGTACTGGAAAGGCCAGTGGGACCACTTAACTTGACTGGATTCTGTAAACCATAGTCTTGCTTCCCTCACTAACTCTTAAATCTTAATGCTTAGAAAATTTGGGATAGGAAAACACCAAAATGGCTCTTTCCTGGCAAATAGGCACAGATGCATCCAGTTTCCGGTATTGCAGGAAGTTTTTCTGGTAAGACTTGAGAAGCACTTTGCAATATTCTGTTTGGCCGTGCTCCTGTATGCCTTCCCTGCTCCCATTAGTTCCCCCGGTTTATGATTATTAGGAGAGAGGGCTTGTGACGATTCAAAGCTGTGAAAGAATTTTTTTCTAATTTTTATCCTAGAATTGATCACCTTTTATTGCGGGGTCTGGTCAGCCTGATGTACGTACGCATCTCAAGTAGCTAACCAGGTTCATCCTACCATCCTCATGGAAGGTTCATTGTGTGAATGGAGTAACAGTGTTAAAACATAGTCAAACAGTGACAGCAATACTTGCCAGGGGAGCCATATTTTTGTGTGTTCCACTCTGAGCAACTCTCAGAAATATTGATAAGGGGGCTGGGGTTCTCCATCTGGGAAACCAAATGAAGGTCTGCAGATTGCCAAGTGAAATATAGAATCAGAAAAAAGGAAATTAAATGGCATAAATAGGTCTTTTCATAGAAGTTAGAATAGATTTTTATTTCAACTACTACTGGAAAATTTAATAAACAGCATTATTTGAAAAGTTTTCCTAACATAGATTTAGCTTTTGTTTTTAGAATGGACACAATATTGTACGTTTAAAAGCAGTTACTTATTTTGCTATTCAAATTAATTTTTTATTATATCTGAAAATGAAATTATCTGTTTTACTTTTCAAAGCTTTGTAAAACAAACTTGAAGTTATAGGGAGGTAAGCCATCTCCAATTCTGCGGGTCAAACAAAAGTTTGGGGAAACTTTGGACATCTCATAATACAGAATGTCTTCACGTGTTAGTTTCATATTGTCTGGTTCTGTTTAATAGTGGGTACCACAAACCTCAAGTTTTTCTCATCCTAAATCAGTGGAAGGTAAAGAGTGGGCATTAGGTTGACTTCTAAACAGTAGTCTGCTGTGATTTTAACACTTTTTTTTTTTTTTTAATCTTTGGGATTCTCACCTCCATTTACTAAAGCATCATGACTCCAAATTACATAGTAATCAGCAAAGTTAATTGGTCTTAAAATTAAATTTTCTCCCTTCATCAAGCACTCATTAAGCAGTGAGGCTGAGTGTTTTAAGATATAAAGAATGAGCTCTGTGAGTGAGTGAAAGGTGGTATTGAAACTTGGATTTCATTCCAGTTTCAGATTTGGGTTTTAAGTTCCTTTAGTCCAGGAAAGGGACTAGGCAGCTCCAGGTGCCACGAATCACTGTCATTTCGTCTCCCAACAAGGTTAGGCGTGTTAGGAGGGAGTGGGGAGGAGGGTTGTAGCAGCCCCCTGCTCCTAGCTGAAGAAGAAGAATGCGGAGGCCTGGTGGAGGGAGAGAAGAGAAACTGCTGGGGATGTGTTGGGTCAGTGCTCACTTGCCTTCCCCCTCACCTCAGCCACTCAGCAGTTGAAGGAAGGCTTTAGTCTACCCTAGCAAGGACAAAGCTTGTTAGAGATGCTTCTGCTGGTGGCAGGGGTTCTTACACAAAAGCAGATATGTGAGGGGGGTGGGCTGGGAGGAGTCGCACTGTGATTATACAGGAAAATCTTGTTCTAAAAATGTATGGGTTTAGACGTAAAGGGTGGGATATGCAAGCAAAATCAGCAATTATTTTAAAATGAACATATGTATTTTTATTAACTTTTAGTTAAATATAGATTATTACAACCAAGTCAACATGATAAGCCTAAATCTGTATAGAGAGCTAACTCAGGCATTGTCTTGTTTATCTGTAGACTGGATAAAACAACCCTTTCCTGTTGTGTCAGTTCTAGTTTCTTAGTCTAGAATAAATTAGACCAAAAGAAGAAACTTACTTGTCTTGGTATGCCTGCAGAATTAAGTTATTGCTGTTAAAACCTGGCCTTTTCATTTCACTAGTCTTTGAAGAGTCCAGATGCTTGGTAGATGTTCAGTAAATGATTTTAAATTAAATTCGTTCATTTAAAATCCTCATTAACTTTTCTAGAAAGTCTTCTTTCAGTAAATAATGGAATCTTAGAGGAGAAGTGGTTTGTTTTTTTAGAAACTAGGGAACCCCTCCTCCATTGAAAATAATCATTTGAAACCTTGATTGTGGACTAAAGTTTCAATCATGAGAAATGGCAGCAAAAGAAAATTTATAGTCAATGGTCCATTTTAGGAGGCCGGTGGTGTCTGACAAATGTTAGAGTAGTGAGGTTGGGGAAGGAAATTGTGGGGGTTTGTAATAAATATTCTCTTTATGTTGTTTCTCTTCTGGGTCATGGTAAAACAATAAATTATCATCTCTAGGTGGCAATATTTGTGGTGTTTTGTTTTTTGTTTTTGTCATCCTTGGTTGTGTAAATGCCCATGTTTTGGGTAAAGAAAAAAGTATGATTTCAAAGTTAAAAACCAGAACTGTGACTCACAAACAATCCTCACACAAATGAACATGTTCTAAGTAATTTCACAGAGCTCCCTATGAAACTCCACCTTAGAGCTCTAGGTAGCTTCTTGGAAAGAGGGCGACAGGATGAAAAACCATGGAACAAAGTAACTTGTTAATGAATCCCCAAAACAATGTTCTCGTAAGATGGAACCATTAAAATAAAGTCACCAATTTATGAAACAGAAAATTGAACATCCTAGCAGTAGCTGCAGCATGTAATCTGATTGTTTAGACCTTCAAACTATGACCTCTAACCTGATAACCTTGTTTTGTTACTGCATAATATATTGAGACAAATGCAATTTGATTTTTTACCTTGTCTCATTTAAATAATTGATTTATTCATCCTTTTTAGAAACCAGAATAGAGATGCAGAGTGTTCTGTTTTCCTCCATGCCTCAGTTTCAGAATCCTTAAGGAATACTACCCTGAGCCCTGCTTGGTCTCCAGGGCTGTGGTGGAATAAACAAGTTTTTTTTTAAGTAAATAAAAGGTGGCACATGTGGAGAAAATATGTATTTTTACTCAGGTATCTTCACAACCAAATCCTGGTTCAGGGGAACTTCACCCTATCTGGTCCAATTGTTTTAGCCTGGGTCCCCCAGAGAGCAGAACCTGAGGTGAGGGCTTGTGTGCAGATGATTTATTTAAGGAAATGATTCCAGAGAACAGAAGTGAGGGACAGGGTAGTGGAATGGGAAGAAATCCATCAGTACATTATTGAACTTGGTCACTGCTGTGGACAGTGGGCCTTGTGAGAGATTCTGGTCCTGAATTAATAAAGGCTTGGGCATGGAGATGACCAGAGCCTTAGAGAACCCCCAGTGCAGACAACAGCCCCAGGAGTCACAAGGGTCAGGGTTTCCCATCCAAGAGCTGCTCTCAGTATTTCGCTCTGTCCAGTCCAGTTCAAAACCTGGCGGCTTCCCCCACCTCCTCCATTCCTGTGCCTTAGTTACAGAGAGCTGCCAGAGGAGAACATGCAGACATGGCTACCTTCATTCATACGCTTGCCCCTGCTAGACAATCCCGTAGTCTTGGGTTTGTGGTCTGGGTGTCTCCTGTTCCCCAGACTCCAATGCCTACCTCACCTCACCCTTTCTCAGCAGATAACCCCTCAGTATTTTTTCCCAAGGGCCCCAGGCCATCGGGATGTGCTTCACTCACTGGTCCTTCCTGCTCCCTGGAGCCCCTGGCCTTGCTCTCTGGTGCCTCCAAGCTCCTCACCCCTCAACACCGGTTCTACATTTAAGTAAGCACAGACCTGTAGCTTTAAGGAGCAAAAGCAAATGTTAAAAATCTTTTGTTTTACCTTGTCCCTTCCTTTTAGCTACCAAATTCCTCCACCAAGTGGACCGTAACTGCTGTTTTAAAGCCCCTGTAACTCAGCTCTCATCCCACCTACTTAAATGGTGCTGTTTAAGATCACCGGTGTTCTTGACAGAGCATTTTCTCTTGTCTTCATTCTCCCCTATTGTTCTATAACATTTGACCATTTCCTTGAACCATTGTCAGTTGTTCACATTACGCTGTCCTTCAACTCCTCTCTCTCGTTCCTTCACTCGTGAATAATAATATCCATGAATTTTCTCTAATCCACACATCAACATTGCAAAGACAGTTGTCCCATTTTACAGATGCAGAAACTGAGGCCCAGAAAGTGAAGTGGCTTAGTAAGTGGCAGAGCTGGATTTTAAAATCAGGTGTGTCTGACTCCAGCAACCAGCTTCTTTCCACTACTTGGTTGTGCCCTGTCCTCTATGAGCTCAGTTATTCTCCCAGCTTCATAACATCAGCTATGTGGTCCCCCAACTACATTTCTGGAGCATCCTGGCATAAGGTTACGCACACAGGCACTGGAGTCAGTTTGCCTATGATCAGTCCTTCATCTATCACTGACTTGCTGTGATCCTAGTTTCCTCATCTGTAAAATGGGCATAGAGTTATAATCATTACACGTAAAGCACCTACAACTGTGCCTGACATAAGTGTTCCAAAAATATTAGCTATTATTTCCTCCGTGTGCCTCTCCCTCTTCTCTCCTGAATCCTCATTTACCCCTCACAAAAGTCTCCCTTTTTTAAGTGAAACATGATGGCAGTGTCCTCCACCCCGTAAGTCCCTAAAACATGTAACCTTGAAATCAGGTCTTTGTGAAAATTGGAGATCCAGGCTCTGGGTCCATTTCAGTCCCAGATATTATGGACAGAATTTCACATGGCTTCTGTGATTCTCCGAAATTTCCCCAATCCTTGCTCAATTCTTTCCCCTGCCCCAATCCTTCAGCTGACAAAATTCCTTTTACAATCCCAAATCCTCCGAGGAACCCAATTTCCCCTGGAATGATGGAAATTGCTGCACAGGTGTGAGAGAACTTTCTTGTCCGAAACTACCCATGTCCCTTTGCCAGTAGGTCCCACCACTGCCTCCAAGTCTCAGAGGTCTTCAGCACAGCCTCCACTCCAGATTCTTGAACATAGGAGATACCAGGCTGATGACTCTACCTGGGTTATGTCATCGTGTGCCCTGCATTTGGTTCTGGATTCCACATTTTAAAAGAGAGATAGACCAACTGCAGGATGCTAAAAGCAAACACATCTCACGTGCAATAAAGGGTTTTGCTCGGTGAGGAGAAAACTCACTGGGAACTCAGTCTCTGCCCTCACATATCTCAAGGCGTGTCATGTCAGAAGCAGGATTCAGTTGTTCTGCATGACTCCAAGAACTAGAACTAAATCCTTTTCAACAAACACTATTGTCAGGCCACGTGCTGGGTGTCAGGAATAATAAAAGGAAAGAGATACAGCAATGAGTAAGGCAGGTAAAGCCAGCTCTGCTTAGCTGCCACCAGGACTTGGGGCAAATTAGAAAAAGGCACCCCTTCCTCAAGACACTTGACTACCTCCTGCTGGCAAGTGGGATCACTATACAGTACAACTCCCTGATAATAAGATGAGTGTGGCCCCGGGCTTGTGCAGGGCACAAGTTGCACAACCAGAAAGAGTGGCCCTAGTGAAAGCCACTGGGAGAAGAAAGAACCCAGTTGCAGAGCCAGGCGGCTGCCTCAGTTCAGGCATTCAGCTGTGGCTGGGGGACGCTCAGGGGACCTGGGCAGGAAGGCATGTTGCATGGCAGAGGGCTGGGCCAGATGCCCTTTGTGATCTTCTACTCTGAGATTATACAAATTTTTTCTGGGTTCTTCCAAAACAGAGGGGAACAAGCCAGCGATCTGCTCTCATCAAAGTCTTGGTTGGAAACTTTACCCTCCCTAATTAAGGAGAAGGCAGGTGGCCCTCTCCAGGGAGAGCACAATGGAAAAAAGGATCTGTGCTAGGTGGAGCCACATATATTCCTGTGGGGCAGGGGGAGGGGAGGGTTGACATTAAAACCAAAGAGATCAGAAATAATATTATAGCCAAGAGTTTTGAAGATTAAAAATCCCTTACTATTGGTATAACTAGTTGCAAAGCTATTTTTCACTCTCACATGATCCAAACACTTTAAAGTTGTCAGAACAGGTATTATGCCCATTTTCCAGATAATTAAGTTGCACATCCAAATCCAAATCTCATTAGCAACAGAGCTCCAGCTCTAAGCTGTGGGGCTAACTACATCACTCCGCTTTTATTCTCTTTTCCTTTCATTTTCTTTAGCTGAATGAGTGTCTTTGCAGCTATACAAGTGGACTGACTCCTGGGAAGAAAAATGGGGAGTTTTCAGAGCTGTTCTAAGAGAAATCAAGGTTTGATCGCCCTCTACTGGCCAATCATAGTGATGGCAGCAAAAATAAGTCATGGCGGGAATGAGTGAGGAAGATCCAGAAAGCAACCATTTTAGAGAGAACCATGACCGCCCTGCTGGAAGAGGAGGGAGGGAGCCAGGGCCTATAGTAACCACTGTAGATTTTCCCCTTCCTGATTTCCTCTGCAAAGGGGAGGGGAATCCTTCTGCTTTCTCAAGCCAAATAATCTTGAACGGTGTACCCTCAGAGGGCCCACGGTCAGTTCAGACATTTTATATTCCAAGATTCGGAAGCAACTTTAAGACTAGATTGTGGGACTGTTGCAGGTGGTCTTTGGGACAATCATACGTGACCATTTTCAAATATTTTGAAAGGTTGACAAGAAGAACTACATGCATTTTGTGAGAGAAAAGAATCAATGAAGACTAGGATCAATATGTTGAAATTATAGGAAAGCAAATTTTTGCTTTAATTTAAAGAACTTGTAGCAATTAGAACTCTCCAAAAGGAAGGAACTGTCCTCTAAAGTAGTAAATTCCCTGCCATGGAAATGGGTAGGAGCAGAGGGCTGCCGTAGAAAGGATGTTTGCATGTTACAAGAGGTTGGAGTGTGGATACCCAGGATGACAGATTCACTCAGTCACCATTTATTGGTCTCGTCTCTATTATTACTGACCACATCTGTAATTATTTGGTTACAAATCTGCCAAGAACTACATGTATTTTTCATTTTTTCCTTGTGCCTTAACACAATGGTGACACATTGTAGCTTCCTGGTAAGTGTTTGTTGAATGAATTCATTGGAAGACTATGAGGTTCTTGAAAATCAAAACCATTCTGAAGAGGAAATGCAGGTGACACATTACAGTGAGCCACCAGTCACACTGGCTAACTTTTCCTTTGTTTGCTCTCTTGTGGTTTTGTCATATGGTCATGGTTCTATTAATGGAAGATAATAATGGATCATCCTAAGTTAACTTGTTTTAATACAGTATGATTTGGATGGCCAGCATATTGAGCTTTCTAATGCTATTTTTAAAAATTCGGTTGAGATATGGTAAGGACACAGGATTGAATTAGAGAATCTGGATTCTACTCTCAGCTCTGCTACGAATTAGCTCGCTAGTGTGCCTCAGATCTGACTTCTCCAGGCATTGATTCTTCGTCTGAAAACGAGAGCTTTACCAGATTGTCCTTAAGGTCTCTTTTGGCATTAATATTTTGCAGCTCTAGGCCCCTTTGCTTTACAAAGAACAATGGCCTTGGAATTGGAAGGATTTCGTTCAAGCCGCAACATCACAACTCGCTGGTTGCATGACGAGGCAAAGATCCAAGGATCCTTTTGACTAAGAGGCTGGATAGAGCACCACCAAGGCATCAACACATGTGGCTCATGAAATTGTGCAGGTTTCCTGGTTTTCCCCTCAGCCCTAGTGATGCTGTTCCCTTCAATCTTCTCTCCTTTCTCCAGTCTAACTCAGAGGGAATAGATGCTTAAAAGCATAGGCTTTGGAGAAAGAGCCAAGTTTGAATCTTGACTTTCTCACATATCACTTGTATGACACTGGAAAGGGTACTTACTTTTCTGAGCCCAAGTTTCCTGATGTTTAAATAGGAAATTTTAATATTTCACAGGAGTAAGTATTCTCAGGATTATAATATTTCATGGGATTGATATAATGAAGATAAACGTGTGCAGTAAATTGCTTCCAAAGATAGTCACCACATTATCTCCCATCCCACATGCTGTTTTGCAATGTGACGAAGAGATAGAGTCTGTGTTTCTTCCCCTTGAATCTGGCCCAGTGACCTGTTTTAACAATAGAATATGCTTGGGCCGGCCCTGTGGCTTGGTGGTTAAGTGCGCGCACTGCGATGCTGGTGGCCCGGGTTCGGATCCCGGGTGCGCATCGAGGCACCGCTTCTCCGGCCATGCTGAGGCCGAGTCCCACATACAGCAACTAGAAGGATGTGCAGCTACGACATACAGCTATCCACTGGGGCTTTGGGGGGAAAAATAAAATAAATAAAATCTTTAAAAAAAAAAAATAGAATATGCTAGAAATGATGTTGTGTAACTTCCAAGCCTGGGCCCTAAACATCTACAAGTGCCACCTTGACCTCTTGAAACGCCCCTCTTGGGGAACCCAGTCGTCATGCCGTGAGGAAGCCCAAGCAGCCGTGCAGAGGGACTCACGTGGAGGAGCGTGGAGGCCCTAGGCCAGCAGCCCCGCTGAGCTTCCAGTCTGGGCCAGCACCAACTGCCAGCCATCCCAGCTCCTTAGTTGACACCACAGGAAGCAGAACAACCCAGCCCATCCACAGGTTTGTGAGATCATGTGAGAAATGATCATTGTGTTAAGGCACTAAATTTGGGGGTAGTTTTTTATGCAGCAACAAAGAACTGAAACCAAGTGCTTCACACAGTACCTGGCTCTTGGTAAGTACTCACAGGAGGTGTGCAGAGGGACTGGTAATGGTAAATGAGTGTTGTAAAAGGGCTGGAGGTTAAGGGAAAAACTAACAGGAGTCTGGGGCAAGCTGGAAGATTAAAGGTCACCTAGCCCAAAAATTCACTCTGCAAAACTCCCGCTGTCCCCATCCCCAGGGCTCTCCCACTTCTTCAAAACATCACAAGATGATGCAGCAAGCGGCCATTTTTTAGCAACTGGATTAGGAAGTCCATCCTTGGATCAAACTTTTCTACCATTTCCATTCATTGGTCTTCTGTCTTCTGGGGTCCTATAAGACAAACTTTTTCAAATGACAACACTTCATATATTTGAAAACTAAGACTGCTTTGTCCCTCATTCTCCCCTTGTCTTCTCCTCCCTCAGTAAGAGAAGATTCTCCAGATTCTCTTAGGTCAAATGGCATGGTGTTCAGACCTCACACTTTCTGATTTGCTAATTTCTGGATGACTATTGGCTTTTGAACCCTCCTCTTAACATGTAGCACACGGAACAGCCCCATCTAAGACGTCTGACCAGTGCACGGGGGAGTGAATGCAACAAGACTGACCAGGCGACAACTGCTGAAACTGGCCAGTTGGTACATGGAGGCTGTCATTCTCTCCACTTTTCGTTTGTCTTTGAAAATTAAACAAAAATTTTTTAATGATCCTAGAAAACATCACAGAAAAATGATGTCATGTTTCTATAAATTTGTGGTGCATTTAGACAGGGAATTCCGTGTGCAGCTATGTCGCAGTCCCTCAACATGTGCGCCTTTTGAGGGACCAGGCAAAAGCAACCTCATGGGGGCCAGAGCGAGCAGACCAGAGATCGATCGACAACACTGAGAATCTAGTCCGGAAGCCTGCGGCTCAGCACGAGCAGCGGGAGACAGAGGTAGCCAAAGACTTCTTTATCACGTCCTGCAGCACCTGGAGCGCTCGGAGGGCAGCCTCTGAGACCCCGCGCTGGAAGCTCAGACCCCGCAAAAAGCCCAAGGGCACAGCTACTTCAGATTGATGCCGCCATGACGCGGTCTGAGAGTGACAACTGAATCTCTGGCTTCGTGGGCCAAGCGTGGGGCTCCGTGTCCATAAACCTGGGCCGAGTTCTCACGAGGTGACGGGCCTAAGCGTCACAGGTAACCCGGGCTCTGAAGTCCGTGAGGGGGCGAGGTCACCACCGCGCCCACGCCTCTCCCTGGCCCGCGGCGTGGGGCGCGCGGTGCGAGAACCGCCGAAGCCTTCATCTGCTCCGCCCTTTCTGGAAAAAAAAAAAAAAAAAGTCAGACTATTATTTGAAATATTATTACATGAAATCTGATTCTTTGAAAAAAAAAAAAAAAAAGCGGGGGGGGGGGCCAAGGTCCCCGCCTGTTCATGTTCGGGGGCGACTCTGCGAGTCCCTAACTCGCCCCAGCCTCCCGCGCACCCGAGACACCGAGATATAGAGAAGACCTCCCGAATTCCTAGAGGGACCGCTGCGGCCTCGCACAACTCTCCGCGGGAGCAGGGCTGTGACGCACTTCCGGCTGCGCCGGCCGCCGTGCGCGTCGGTGTCCCAGGCCCCCAGCGGCTGTGACTCACGGTGAGGCTCGGGATCCCAGGTTCGCTTGGCGGGAGGAAGAGAGCTTGGCCGAAAGGGTTCGGGGAGGGAGGAGTGGGTTAGGGAGCTGTGGCCTCTGGGGAACCGCAGACTAGTCCTGGCAGGGCTGTGGGGAGGAGCCTGTCCCTACCCAGCCCTGGACGGTGGAGGCGCTGGCGCCCTGCAAAGCCTGTTCCTCCCCCCAGGGGATTAGCAAATGAAACTTTGTCCCTTTCGCGTTCCAGAGCAGTTTTTTTGTGCGACCCCTGAGCCGAAGCACCGGTCAGTCTGACCGGGGCTGCCCTCTCTTTTCTGCTGCCTCTGAACGGGAGGTCCGAGCATAACGCTAATTGATGAGAACACGACATGCCTGAGGGGGTTGGGGACCTCCAGTGAGAAACCGAGGCTCATTAGAAATCCTGGGTAGTGTCTGATCCAAGGGAGGAAGTGGTCCTGTTGGGCTTTGTTTAGGTTAGAAAGCACACGCTTAACGGATCTGCTCAAGGTTGGAGACCCATTTTTGAGGGAGCATTTATAGTTTGTTAAGGGAAAGGTGATCTGGTGGGTGAGGTACTTAGAAACCTATGTTAGATAAGGAACAGCTGGAAGACCTGTGAAGAAAAGAGTTAAGCAATTATTTTCAGGCGTTGGAAGACTACTACGGAGCAAGTAAGTATTGGTCTAGGACCCAACTAGGATCAGTGAAGAAAGAAAAGAAAAAGTGATGCAAAATTTGGTTCGGTTTAGAGAAAACGTTGTAACAATTAGAACTGCCCAGCAGGAGAATTCTGTGCCTCAAGAATTATCAAATTTGCCTGCCTAGGAGTTTTCAGGTACAGAATGAGTGTGTTAAAGGCATTCTAGTATTAGTTGGTAAGTGCCACTGAATTGTTGGAATCTATGATAATTTGATTTATTTGTGCCTTATTTTGTTCCGGAATGGGTTTGGGGCACTTTATAAGGGCATATAAGCTTCTGGAAATGAGCATAAAGAAGGAAAAAAGAGACTGGGAACAGAACAAAGGCCTTCTGCTTATAATAGACCATGAGCCTTTGCTTGATGGGCCTCTGGAGCTAAACATTCTGGATAGCCTAAAAAAGTAGTCCACTGTGGTTGAAGACAATGTGAGTGAGTAATGAAGCCTGCATTTTCTATCCACATGCTTGTTTATTTTATAACACTTTATTAAGAAAATTTCTGAAGCCAAGACCTGGAGGGCATCCCTAAATGAACCTTTCGACAAACAATATGACTAAAAGTGAAATTACTGGCTTTGCTCAGGAAAAGAAAATCAAGACAGCATTATCAGAATTTTTTTTTTTATCTTTGCTAGTCTGATAGGTAGAAGTGTCTCATTGTAGCTTTAGTTTGCATTTCTCTTATTATAACTAAAGTTAAGCATCTTTTCATGAATTAATTACTAAGCTGAGATTTGAAAGACAAATAGAAGTCTGCCATGAGAATTGGGCATTGATGGAGCATAGGGCATGAGAAGGGGAGTGATGAGACTGGATGGAGAGGCAGAGGCCAGATTGTGAGTGACTGTTTGCCGTGCAAGTAAATTATTACGTGATTTCAAACAACTGGGTGATGTGTGCAGCTTTGTATTTTAAACCTCTGCAGGTAGCCTTTGAGCCTGTGGAGACAGAATTGCCAAACTGGAAAATGGTCTGTGATTTCAAAGGAAGAATGGATATTGTCATAATGTTGCCAACTAGTTAAAAGCTAAAAGTATTTGATAAAATTAAAAATAGGCTTTGTGTTATGTTTGAATAGATCTACTAGAAACTATTAGGCCAATATTCTGACAATTGTTGGAAGAGAGTTAGAAATTAACTATTGTTGCTCCTAGAGACAAAACAGACAACTTTTTTTTTTAATAACTGTAAAAGGAAAAGACTTCACAGCTTTCCTAAATGTCCAGTTGACTCTGGGTGGTCTGCTTCAACATCGTAAGTGTTGTTGAAGTTAACAGCTGTATTTCTATCAGCCCTCCATAATAGAACAGCGTTTACCAAGGCTGCTGTTTTCCCCAATGCCCCATTTTTTTAATTTAAATAAACATTTTATTTTAGAATAATTTTAGATGTATAGAAAAGCACAGGGGCCGGCCCCATGGCTTAGCGGTTGAGTGCGCGCTCTCCGCTGCTGGCAGCCCGGGTTCGGATCCCGGGTGCACACCGACGCGCCGCTTCTCCGGCCATGCTGAGGCCGCGTCCCACATACAGCAGCTGGAGGGATGTGCAGCTATGACATAGAGCTATCTGCTGGGGCTTTGGGGGAACGAAAATAAATAAATAAAATTAAAAAAAAAATAATGAACAAAATGCATTGTCTAGATAAAAACACACCAGTCTTTAAAAAAAAAAAAAGAAAGAAAAGCACAAAGATAATACAAGTTTCCGTATACCTCTCACTCGGTTTCCTTATTAACGCCTGACGTTACAGTGTACATTTGTCACAACTAGGGAACCAACGTTGGTTCATTACGATTAAGTTCCACAATTTATTTGGATTTCACTAGTTTTTCCCTAATGTCCTTTTTCTGTTCCAGGATCCCATCCAGGACACTGCACTACATTAGTCTTTGTGTCTACTTAGTGTCCTCTGGTCAGTGACAGTTTCTCAGTCTTCCCTTGTTTTTGATGACCTTGACAATTTTGAGGAGTACTGGTCAGTTATTTTGTAGAACATCCCTCAATTTAGGTTTATCTGATGTTTTTCTCATGGTTAGACTGGGGTATGGGTTTGGGGGAGGAAGTCCACGGAGGTGGAGTGCCCTTCTCATCCTGTCCTATCAGGGGCACAGGACTTATCACTGATGATGATAGCCTTGATTGCCTGGCTGCGGTGGTGTTAGCCGGGTTTCTCCACTGTAGTGACTTCCCTCAACCCCTGTCCACACTCGCCTCTTTGGAAGCCAGTCACCAAGTGCAGCCCACGCTCAAGGAGTGGGGAGTTAAGCTTCACCTTCTTGAGAGGGAGTATCTGCATAAATTATTTGGAATAATTCTGTATGGGAGATTTGTCTCCCGTTTATTTACTCAGTCGCCTTTTTTCTATCAGTATGGACTTATATTTATTTTATACTTTGGATTATAACCCAGTACTACATTATATATTTTGTTGCTCACGTTGTTTCAGCTGTGGCCATTGGGTGTTTTTTTTTTTTTTTTTAGGTTGGCTTCTCTGTCCTTTTGACACACCCCATTGCTTTGTTTTTTGAACACTGTGTAGCAGGCTCCAGGCTCATCTTTTATATTCCCCAACCTAGAATCAACCATTTCTTCATTTTCTGGTGCCTCTTATTGGAAAATTATATTTGGAAACCAAGATCTGGGCACTCGGTGGCTGACTGCTACCAGCTTGTTATTGCTTCTAGACCTTCACAGCAAACAGAGCTAAGAAATAAATGTCTGTATCCTAACCCATGTGCACACACTTACCTAATTAAGCTAAACATGAGTCCATGCTGCTGTATTTGTAGCTTAAATTTGTACTGATAATATTTTTTAAAAACCTATTTTCACAGTTGTTACTTCTTAAGAGCAGCCCCAAAGATCCAGGTATCATATTCATTCTTTCCACAGATGTTTGAGCACCTGCAAAGTACCAGGCGTATTCTAAACATGTGGAATATAGCAGTGAGCAAAATAGATGAAAGTCCCTGCCCTCTAGAGTTGATATTTAAGGACAGAGACAGTTAAAAAAAAAAAATAAAAAGATAAAAGATACAGTATTTTCTGGTAGTAAATGGTGTAGAGGAAAAGAGTAGATTAGGAGGGTTAGCAGTTGTGGGGTGAGGGAGGGCGGTGTGCAGTTTAAAACAGGGGGGTCAGGGGTGCCTCAGCAGGAAGTAGGGACCTGAAGGAGGTGAGGACGTGAGCCTTCTGTAATCTGGAGGAAGTGTGAGGCAGAGGGAGCAGCGAGGACAAAGGCTGTGCGGTGGGAGTGTGCCTCACACTTTGGGGAACAGTGACTGGGGTAGAATGAACAGGAGGGAGAGAAGTACAGGATGAGATCAGAGGGGCGACAGGTCTGCGATCTTGTGGGCCTTGTGGGCCATTGTGCTGACTTTGGCATTTCCTCTGTGTGAGACATGAAGCCTTGAAAGGTGTGAGCAGAGGAATGATGAGGTCTGACTTGTATTTTAACAGGAGCACAGGATGTGTTGGGAATAGACTGAGGGGCAGGGGTGGACGCAGTTAGGAGGCTGTTGCAGTTCTCCAGGCGAGAGGTGATGGACTGGGCGGCAGTGTGTGAGGTAGTGAGAAGTGGTCGAACTCTGGATCAGGATTTGCTTACGGATTGTGTGTAGAATGTGAGTGAGGAGTCAGGGATGACCAGGTTTTTTGGCCTATGTAAACAGAGTGATGGAGTTGCTGTTGACTGAGATGAGCAGCTTTGGGGGCAAAGATGAAGAATGTCGGTTTTGGACATGTTAAGCTTGAGATGCTGTTGGACATGCGGGTGGCAATGTCAAGTGAGGAGTTGGTCGTTTTGAGTCTGGAGTTCAGAAGAGAGCTCCAGGCTGGAGATAATTGGGCAGTTGCGAATACGTAGGTGGTAATTAAAGCCTTGTGACTGGCTGAAATCGCCTGAGAGAGTGAGTGCAGCAAGGAAGGAGGGCTCCAGGCACCCAGCCCTCCACTCGTTTGTGGTCCTGCTGAGATGTGAATTTGAATTGTGGGCACTGAAAACGGGTGCGCTAGAGTACGTCACTTCACTAGTGAGCCGGCTGAGCCAGCTGCCTGGCAGCAACATCTCGGGAAGCTTCCTCCTTCAATTGTAACTATGCACGTCTTCTGTAGAGGCAATCACAGAATGATCTAGTGGCATCTCTGAGTTTGGACTCACCAAGTGCTGGGAACATATCCCAGGTGAATGTGATATAGGACCCTCCCTGTTTAACGCTGCCTGTGCTATGTAACTCCTCGTGTCCTGCTGAGTTTCCCAGGCTGGATCCCAGAAGCTGAGCAGCCCAAACAGATTCCCATGTCTTTCCTGTTCTTGGGGTGCCCTCCTCTGGATAGAGTGGGAAGTTTTGTAACAAGTTATGTAAAGTTATTCCAACACTGAGGAGATCTACTTTTAAGCATTTCTAAAGAATGCTCTCCAGACTGCTATGTCTGTTATTTTTAGGTTATTTTAGCCTTTGGTGCTAATGCCTTTATTTTAGGAGACTAGATGGCAGTGCTTCTCCCCTGGCTCGGTTTACAAGTAATCCTGAACTTGGGAGCTCCAGCAGTGTATTGGGTGCATAGGACGGCATGAGGGAGTGGACAGTGCTGATTCTGGTCCACCCTGTTGCAACACCTATTGGCATCTCAGGATCCTGCAGACTTGGGGTACAGGGAAGAGGAGTCCAACTACTGGCATCCTTGGAATTCTGAACTAATTAGCAGCTGATAATTATTGAATTTCTCATAAAAGCAAGGTTACTTATTGAGGTTCTAGTCCTAGAATCTCATTTCATATTTTTAAAACTTAGCAAAATTGATCACAAAAATAAATGAAGGGGAACAGTCATATAAAATACATATTTTAATATATATTTACTAAATGTGTGAAACTAAACACCTAATATGAAAGCTATAACATAAATGTACATCTACTAGGGGGTTCTGTATGGGCTGGAATTGCTGGGGTTTTTTTTCTTTGGGTTTTGTTTTTGAAGGCCATGAAGTTTGAGCATTAGTAGTAAAACCTATTTTGTCAAAAGACTATTTGTGATCCCTTTAAAGATTTTATGATTTTCTGATTACAGAAGTAATGATACCCATTATAGAAAATTTGGAAAATCGAAAAACGAAGGAAAAAAATTGAAATCGTTCCTAATTCTATAACCCAGAAAATCACTGTTCATGATTTGTCCTTTGTCTTTAATTGTGATTATGTGTATATTATGGGGAGGGGTGTGTGTGAGAGAGAGAGAGAGAAAGTGCGAGTTCCTATATTTCACATGCTATCAAGCCAGATCCATGGAGATTGACTTGGGTGTCAGAAATGAGCATCCTCAAGTTTTTTAATGCCCTAAGTTTGGATTATCTGCAACTCCTCTTCCCTCATCTTCAGCTTTTATAAGCCGTTTATACATCCTCTTTATGGTCTCTACCATTGTTATCAATCTAATTTCATGTAACAGATACCCATATAGATTTTTATCTCTTTGGCTCTTAATTGAGACTCTCTGGAGTTTTCCTGTCCTAGATGGTCCAAATGCAGTATGCGAGCACTTATGCGACATGAAAGCTCCTGCCTAAAGTTTGAAAACATGCTCAGGAAGGCCAGTCACAGCATGTAAGATTCATTAATTTATGTATTTTTCTTTCGAAATAGGTTTAATGAGTGCCAATAATGATAGACTGATTCTGTTGTGTGTGTCCTCATTTATTTTCCATCTCCCCCACTGACTTGGAAGCTCTGTGAGGGCAGGGGTGTGTCTGTCTCATTCATCACTGCAATCCCAGCAGTGAGCCCATAGCAGGTGTGCAATATATGTTGTTGAATGAATGGACTTCACTTTTTTGGCAAATGAAAAAAATAGAAGTAGTTGTATTTACTACAGATGTTTTTGGTATTCTAACATCAACTGACCAAAATATTTAGAATATTTAAAATTTAAAAGGAAAAATACAAACATTTTTTGTTTCTGTTTTCTATTAAGATTTAATTTTTCCCTCAATTTCTTCTCAGCAGTACACATCTTATCAAAATAAATACCTCTCTAAGAATATAGTTTTAAAATTATGCCGCAATGCATTTTTTAGGAGAGTGGAGACAAAGTAAAATCAAAGTAAGATATCCTGAGTGGACTCTAGAAAGATTCTGAACCGTAATTTTTATATGGTAGTTTTATGGTGGCCATAATTTCCACAATTTCTGGTGCTAAAGGTGTGGCTGTAAAGACCAAAAAACATACCTTTTCTTTTTGGTAATTTTGTGGTAACCATATTTTTTTAGGTTTAACGTGTAGCCCTAAAGAACCAGAAACCCAAAGGAACCAATATTCCTGCTACACAGAGCCCCATCTTTAGTGAGTGTTTCTGGAGTCTGTATGATGACCAAGGTCCTGGGCATGGCCACAGGTCTGGGCCCGAGGCCTCCACAGGAGCAGGTGGGGCTTGTAATTGTGAAGGTCGAGGAGGAGGAGAAAGGGAAGTGCCTTTCTAGCCTGGAGATGTTCCGCCAGCGCTTCAGGCAATTTGGGTACCATGACACACCTGGACCCCGGGAGGCCCTGAGCCAGCTCCGGGTGCTCTGCTGTGAGTGGCTGAGGCCCGAGATCCACACCAAGGAGCAGATCCTGGAGCTGCTGGTGCTGGAGCAGTTCCTGACCATCCTGCCCCAAGAGCTGCAGGCCTGGGTGCAGGAGCACTGCCCCGAGAGCGCTGAAGAGGCCGTCACTCTCCTGGAAGATCTAGAGCGAGAACTGGATGAGCCAGGACAGCAGGTAGGCTGGGGAGGACCTTGTATTCCATGAGATTGGGAGCATAGCATTCCAGGAGGGTATGGGTTTGTCCATACAATGAGAATAGCTGAATGGAAGTTTCTGTTGAGGGCCGGCCTTGTGGCTTAGCAGTTAAGTGCGCACGCTGCACTGCTGGCAGCCTGGGTTCGGATCCCGGGCACGCACCGACGCACCGCTTCTCCGGCCATGCTGAGGCCGAGTCCCACATACAGCAACTAGAAGGATGTGCAACTATGACATACAACTATCTACTGGGGCTTTGGGGAAAAAAATAAATAATAAATAAATAAATAAAATAAAACCACATTGCTTAAAAAAAAAAAAAGTTTCTGTTGAGTTAGACCATGTTTCCTCCTATTTTTCTTCTGCATCCTGTACTGACTTTTAGCTTTGGGAATTGAATGGGATGGATATCTTTCTTTTCTCTTTCCTAGAGGTTCTACATAGCTCTCCTGAGATTTTCTTTTGTTCTAGTTCTTAAAGTGAGTTGTGCACCAACCCAGCCATTCCTAATTGTCTATAGGTCTCACCTCCTCCAAATGAACAGAAACAGGTGTGGGAGAAGATGTCATCTTCAGGAACAGCAAAGGAATCCCTTAGCAGCATGCAGCCACAGTCTGTGGAGACCATTCCCATATACGAATGTTGGGGGCCCCTGTACATCCAAGAGACTGGTGAAGAGCAGGATTTCACTCCAGAGCTGAGAAAGATTCAAGGTAGGGACCATCAACCAGGCCCCGCTTGGTGCCCCGGGCCTTTGTGGTTGAAGAAACAGATAATTCTAATTACTGTTGTGAGGCAATCCCCTAGATTGACTTGACTGGTCTGACTAGGCAGAAGGAGTTGCCTTTCCTGCCTCAGGCGCATCTCAGAGTCCTAGCCTGGGAACAGGTGACACACTCTTAAAGGGTCAGTTCAAGTGAGTTTAACAAACGGACTGTTTCCAGAGGTGTGGACAGGTTGAATGAACCAATACGGGTTGGTGCTTGTTCACTTGTTAATGATTTAGTGAACCTGTTAATCATCAGCTTTGGATGATGCAGAAATGGTCCCTGGTAAATTCTTTTTCAACATCTGCCTCATTAGGCTATTTAAAACTTCTGACTTTTGTTAAGTTACTTATTTCCCACAAAGTTCATGGCAACTTGAAGGGAAGTCTGTCCACGTAGCCAAGTGATTGTTCATCATGGAGAGTGTCGGGGATTTTAGCTGCTGCTGCTGCTGCAGTCACCAGCAGACAGTGAGTGGGGTGAGCCTAGAAGCCGCTGAGTGGTTACTGCCGGCAGAGGAAGGAAATAGATGGTCGGGTAGAGAGAGACACAGGGACGAGGAGGAGGGAGCTTAGAGAAAAGTACCTTGTAGATTAAGGCTTCTGTACTCCTCAAAGGGAGCCTGTTTTTCAGTGCATTTCTCTCACTCCCCTTTTCCGTGTAAAGGGACGGTTAGATGGACTTTTAGGAAGTGTGACTGCCTAGTGAAATACTCTAAAAAGACTGGGGGCCGGCCCGGTGGTGCAGTGGTTAAGTGCGCAGGCTCTGCTTCAGTGGCCCGGGGTTCACAGGTTCGCATCCCGGGCACGTACCAACGCACCACTCATCAAGCCATGCTGTGGCGGCGTCCCATATAAAGTGGAGGAAGGTGGGCACGGATGTTAGCCCAGGGCCAGTCTTCCTCAGCAAAAAGAGGAGGATTGGCGACAGATGTTAGCTCACGGCTGATCTCCCTCACCAAAAAAGAAAAAATATATAGACTGCTTCAATCTGATTTCAACAGTGTCACTTTATAACTAAACGAATTGTAAGACAAAGCCAATGTAGGTTAAATGATGAGAGTCAAACTTGGCAGTGGGGGGGAGGCTGTTAAGTGCTTTCATTCAAATTAATAAGGATCTGGGACTAGAGTGATTATAAATGAACTGAATGTTCTGTTTTTTTTGCTTTTATATTCGGCTTCTGTGAGAATATGGATTTTGTGAGTTTGCCACTAGCCCCTTCTCCCTTAATTATCCTTTTTATTTTCCTTAATCAACTTTGACCCTTTAGCAGTCTTTCTTGTTCCTTTCTGTCTGAGCATCAGCCATCTTTGCTGTTGTCCTCCTATGCTTGGTTTTACCTTGTTGCTGTCTATACGTGAAGTTCTTGTCCTGGCAGAGAAAGCCATGTGCTCGTCACACCATGACAGCTTCTGGTGGGGGCTTGTGTGAGAGTCTGGTCTTGTAACTAGATTTGATGGTGACTTATTTGTATCAGTGTGATATTGTGACCTCTCATTGAGCAATGTTTGGCCACCCTTTGGAACCTGTCAGTGTCACTGATGATTCTATTTCTCCTTTAACACTTTCTTCTCAGAACAGGAAACAACTGACATGTCATTTTTCTACTTAATGTTTCAGATCATAAATTGAACACCCAGAATGAAGAATCAAGAGAGAAGCAGGAAGGTGCTGAAGAATCTCATGCAGAAGGATTCAAAAGAGATATCATTCCCGTGATTATTCCCAATAAATGTGAGGCCAGGTTAGAAAGGCAGTGGGTAAACCTTGAAAAGGAAAGAGGAACAAAAACCCCTCTCCTAGACAAAGGTTCCAAGAAGGGTAGAGAGTTAATTCCTACTAAACCTCCCCCAGGAGAGAGACGTTACATATGTGCCGAGTGTGGGAAAGCCTTTAGTAATAGCTCAAATCTCACTAAGCACCGGAGAACACACACTGGGGAGAAGCCGTATGTGTGCACCAAGTGTGGGAAAGCCTTCAGCCACAGCTCAAACCTTACCCTTCACTACAGGACACATTTGGTGGACCGGCCCTATGACTGTAAGTGTGGGAAAGCTTTCGGTCAGAGCTCAGACCTCCTTAAACATCAGCGAATGCACAGTGAAGAGGCACCTTATCAGTGTAAAGATTGTGGGAAGGCTTTCAGTGGTAAAGGCAGCCTCATTCGGCACTATCGAATACACACTGGGGAGAAACCTTATCAGTGTAACGAGTGTGGGAAGAGCTTTAGTCAGCACGCGGGGCTTAGTTCTCATCAGAGACTCCACACTGGAGAGAAGCCATATAAGTGTAAGGAGTGTGGGAAAGCTTTCAACCACAGCTCCAATTTTAATAAACATCACAGAATCCATACTGGGGAAAAACCCTATTGGTGTAATAATTGTGGAAAGACCTTCTGTAGTAAGTCAAATCTCTCCAAACACCAGCGAGTCCACACTGCAGAGGGAGAAGTGCTTTAACTGGCGAGTATGCTCTCTCCATGGTTTTTGGATTTTTTTTTTTTTTTTTTTTTTTTTTGAACTTTAGAACATGAATGCTAGGGAGAAATCCAGTAATTGCAATATAGACTCCGGTGGTGGGTTTTGTTTCACTCCACATCAAGGGATGCCTGAGGAGGGAGCAGAAGCAGCAGCACTGTAGGCGGGGGTCCTGAGGGCTGGGGGGGATTCCTCACTTGCCAGAGCTGGGGCAGGGTCCCCTCCCCTCACCACACTTTGGTCCCATAATCCATGCCAGCATTGCCTTTTGTATAGTTAAACTGATGTGTATCCAGTATAATTAAGGAAGAAACATTAAAACTGTTTAACTGTTTTAACATGTATTCAAGAATTACAATTTGTAAAGAATTGAGCCATATTGAACACAATCTGATTCAGAATAAACTTATAACATTTTGTAATGCCTCAGAACTATTATTAGAATAAATGATGTGTTGGTTATTAAACACTATTCTAGAAAGAGAAAAGGGTTCCTCCTGGTTTAGCTTGTGGAAAATTGGGATTTGGGTAAATGGAACTTCACTTGTGAGTGTGTGTGTTAGGAGATTGCAGTCGAGTATAGCAGCTGCCTCTTGGTCTACATTGTGCTTTTTTTCCTGCAGACTGAACACATTCTTTCATCGTTGGGAACATTTTGTCAGCCTCCTGTGCATTTCGGTTGTGTATATTCTGTCTCTGCCAAAATGAACATCTGACTCTCCCTGAGAAGCTTCCTTCTTCTAAACCCCAGAAGTCAGTAATACACAACATGATTACCTTAAATCCATCCTTCTCTTCCCTCAGACTGTGGTGTCTCTGATTTTTTAAGATACTTCTCTCTACTTTGTAACGTCTTTTGGCCGGCAGGACCTCCTGTTACCTAGAAACCTAACGACTTCACTCCTTCCTCCTTTCACCTGCTTATCTTCATATTACAAGTTTTTTCACCTCTGGTTAGTCACGGAAATACCTTTTCGTCTACTGCTGTGGCCATCATAGGCAAACCTGACATGCCAGGGTTAGGGACAGCAAGAACATTTCACGTCTAGTACCAGTTCTGATCTTGAAACTGCCCTGAATGCCACCGTGGGATGATTAAATAACAGCTAATAAGTCTTTATGCACCAGCCAAATATATTAGGAGTGGGTCATTGCTGAAAAAGACTCAATAGTGCCTGAAATCGGAGATGTTCTTACTGTTGCAGTAGCTTGCTGACGATCTTCTGGATCTTAAACTCAGTATGTTTCATGTGAGCTATGCTGTTTGTGTGTTAACCGTGATGGAGGCCCACAGAGAATTGAGTGATGAGGCAGCAGGTGAATATGTGAGGGCCGCTGATGGAGCTGCTGCAGAGGAGGGAAATGAAGAACGCTGCCAGGCCTGAAGAGCTGCCTGCTTTGGTGAGAGGTGAATGGGTCCCAGGTCTGTTCTGTCCGTTATCTTTCTGATCCCTCCTGTGCAATGGGTACTTTCCCATGGGCATCAATAAAAGACAAAGATTACACACTTGGTTTCAGCTCCCATAGTCCATCCGTAAGCTGAAGTCTTCCTCAGATCTCGTCTCCAGCCTGAGCCTTATTCTTTGCAGGCCCCTTTTCTAGACAAGTGGTTTGCCACAGCCCAGGAGGCTGTGAAATCGTCACCTCAGGCCACTTCTCCCTCCACACAATAGACATAGAGTCTGTCTCTCTCCACGTAGACTGCAGCTCTGCCCTCCAGATTTCCCCTCACACTGGCCTCTAAGGCCACTCTTGAGGAATGCCATAGTGAACCAACAATGCATTTTTGGTTCACACCAACACACTGAGCTGATCCTTCTGTGAAACAAACCCTAGTCATTTCTTCCACCACTAAGTTAAAAGGAGCCTTCTGTGAATCCACAGGTGTGAGCAGAGAGAGAGGCATCAGTTCAGCAAAGGGAGGAGACATGGGGGTCTGAGCCTCCTGCTTACGTACCTTGTGACTTCTGGACCTGCTCATGCCTGATCCCGAGTGTGACATTTCCTCCACATGATGGATGTTGCTCTGTCCACCCAACCTAATGACTTGCTGAGTCAGAATACTCAGCTATGATCAACAGCTCCAGTTACGTAGTCACGTGATGTCTCGTGGGCAGCATCCCAGGAGCCGCTTTTCAAACAGTAGTTCTTCGCTGCAGAAGGCATGACTTCTATTGGCAAGTTCCTACTGGGGCTTACCAGACCTCTACACGACATTTCTCTCTAGCACAGATAACCTCTAACACCATTTGAATCTGCCAGGTCATATGGTACTTGGGCCATATGACTGGACCGCACCTGAAAGTGTATATGTTGCCTCCAAGATCCAAGGAGGCCCGCCAAACATTGCCTCTTTCTTAGTCTAAGTAGTGAGGGCAAGATGCAGTAATTTGTCCCTTACTTTAGAATTTCCCAGCATGCCTCAGACACTTGGAGCCTTAAAAACTTCACTGATATAAAAGGCCCTTGAATCTTTGTAGGGTTTATCCCCGCCTCTGGTATGCGTGTGTGTTGCTGAGGGATCCAACTACAATTGTCACTTTCTCTTCACCAGGTCTGATTATTAGGATGTCGTCAGTAGAAGGATGTTCCACAGTGTCCACAAAATCGAAGTCCTTTTGTGAAGTAAGAGAGTTGACAAGCGCTTTGTCAAGAAATTGAATGGGGGCCGGCCCGGTGGCACAAGTGGTTAAGTGCATGCACTCTGCTGCGGTGGCCTGGGGTTCGCCGGTTCGGATCCTGGGCGTGCACCGACGCAGGGCTTGTCAAGCCATACTGTGGCCGCGTCCCATATAAAGTGGAGGAAGATGGGCGTGGATGTTAGTCCAGGGCCAGTCTTCCTCAGCAAAAAGAGGAAGATTGGCAGATGTTAGCACAGGGCCGACTTCCTCACAAAAAAAAAAAAAAGAAATTGAATGTATTCTCTTGTCCTTCCCACTTAATTGTGAACCACCTTTGATCCTCTATCGATGGGAATGGAAAGAATGCATTCAGCAGACCACTAGCTGCGGGCCAGGAACCAGGGCCGTGTTGGTCTGTTCCAGTGAAGACAGCACTGCTGTTGTGATTAGGCTTATGGCAGACAACCAGCATCAGCCACAATGCATCTATTTTCTATAGGAGCAATACAGAATTGAGTCTTGAATCTTTGAGGGCAGCACTAATCACTTCAGTTCCATGCAGGGTGTGATGGTGTTTCTGATGTACTGTCTTGGCTGGGTAAGGGGGAGGGAGGATTTCAAGAGTTTCCACTTGGCCCTTTCTACCACAACGACTTATGCTACAGGTTAGGGAACCAATGTGCTAAACCTCCCTCACCCTGCTGAACCATCCATCCCAGTTATCCTCTCAGGGACAGATCCACAGGGTAGGTCTCTGGCCTACTGGGCCCACTGAGGTGCATCTGGGTCAGGACTCCATTTATCAGCTCACCTCTATCTGGATGGCAGTGATGGAGTCGCAGACCCTCTAGATTCAGGTAAACTCAGACCCTGGATCCAGTAGCCTCAAAAGGTCTGGCATTCCCTTCGCCTAGTGTACCTGACTAGGGAACAGCCACAAGACCCTCTGGGGCAATATTGGTTGCACATTCTTGTGGTGGAATTGTAAAGTTCTTCCCCAAAGAAACCCAAACCTCCCCTTCGACTGATGGATTCTGCATCTGAGGACTGGCTCAGATCTGGAAAGTGGGTGAAGGATTGCAATTTCCCGTCGCAATGGCTGATACCAGCCTTCTCACCAGCTCTTGATTGTTTTGTTTGTACGTTTACATAAATCAAGCACTACCCTGTTGGCTCCCAGTCTTTCCTGGGAACACCAAAGGTGATTAGCCATCACCACGAGTCCCTGTGGGTCAAGACACTCTAGTTGCCATTCTGGCCATTGCCCGTCATAGTAGCTATTCTAGAATTCAGTTGTCCCCATTGACACCAAGGAACTCAGGTCCATGGCATCATCTTCTATTAATCCTAACCTACAGAGACAGCCACCACTGACCTTCTCAGCAATATGTGTGCTCCCCTCATTAGTGCATCCCTTATTGTCTTAGAGAATGGGGACTTCTTTAGGCCCCCTGAGTAACATAGTCAGGTGTTAGTTCTCCAGTCTCATGTTATAAATCCACCTTAACATGCATGAGCCTGCTGACCCCTTTCTCAATACTCTGCTAATTAGTTGCAGCATCTCTACCTCATTTAGGCCATCATTCACGTCCAAGTTTTAATGAGCCATCCTAGAATTAGGATTGTATTAGTTTTCTATTGTTGCTCTAGCAAATTACCACAAACTTGGTGGCTTAACACAATACAACTTTATCTGTGGATTAGAATTCCAACATGCGTCTCACTGGGCTAAAATCAAGGTGGGAGCAGGGCTGTGTTCCTTTGTGGGGCTCTGCGGGGACAATCTAATTCCTTGCCTTTTCCTCTAGAGGCTGCCCACATTCCTTACCTCATAGCCTCCTTCCTCCATCTTCAAAGCCAGCAACATTGCATCTCTCTAACCACTCCTCCATAGTCCCATTTCCCTCTGACTCCCTTCTGCCTGCCTCTTATACTTTAGGACCCTTTTGATTACACTGGGGCCACCTGGATAATCAAGGATCCTCTCCCCGTCTTGAGCTTAGCTGATTAGCAACCTTAATTCCATCTGCAACGTTATTCACAGATTCTGGGGATTAGGATGTAGACATCTTAGGGGGCCATTATTCTGCCTATCGCAGGCTGTCCTGGGTGTCTTGCCAGGACATTAAAACCTAAGGCATGAGAGAATGCTCCCAGGTCAATATCTCCCCCTGTCCCAACTTTGTATTCAGCACACACACAACCCCAAGTCCACTACCTCAAGATCCACTACCACTGGGACCGGCCTGCTGGTGTAGTGGTTAAGTTCGTGGTTAAGTGGTAAGGAAGCTTCAGCGGCCCAGGGTTCAAGTGTTTGGATTCTGGTCGGGGACCTACACACTGTTCATCAAGCTATGCTATGGCGGCGTCCCATATACAAAATAGAGGAAGATTGGCACAGATGTTAGCTCAGGGCCAATCTTCCTCACAAAAAAAAAAAAAATCTACATGTGTTCCTCTGGTTGCTGTAAGTAATTTTACCCAGGTTCTGCAACATTTCCAGCGAGTGACTAATGTTTCTCCACTTGGGCTGTGCTGAGACCTGACTCCAGCCATTGGTCTGTATGTATTGGGGAAGGTGAGGACAGATTTTGGGGAGGACAAGCGTTATCTCAAGAGGCACCTGCCTCAGGTGAGATCTTTGCATGGTCTCCAAACAAAAAGAGGTTACTCTCCTACAGCAAGTGGGAGGGAGACGCTTTTATTAGGCCAGAGGGTTCTGGAGAATTTAGGGTTTGAGATACTCAAGCACACCTACCCAAATGTCTCATATATCAGGATCCCAATCTTTCTCAATCAGGGCCCAGAATTTTGGCATAAATGACTTGGGGAGGCTTTGCATTTAACTACCCTTGCCGTTCTGCCACCCTAACAATTAAATCCTGCGCCTGACTTTCGGGCAGGCTGCTCTTGCTGCAGAAGATGGGGATCTCTTTCAACACTGCCATGGAGGACTTCTGACTTTCACAACATGCCCTGAAGTGACACTTGGCTAGCCGGAGCTATCAGTTTCTCTCTTCAGAGAGAGAGAGAAACTCTGCAGTCTTGATAGTTGCCACTAACCCAAGAATGTTCAAGTGATAGAGCTAGGGCATAAGCTAGTGCCCCTCTCTGCCTGCACCTCCTCTCTCACCATGACTAGTG